GAGATCTCAGCAGCGTAGCAACATGTCACATATTAAACGATCCCAAGGATCTCAGCAGCGTAGCAAAATGTCACGTAGTAAACGATCCCAAGGATCTCAGCAGCGTAGCAACCTGTAACGTAGGAAACTATCTCAGAGATACCAGCAGCGTAGCAACATGTAACGTAGTAAAAGATCCCAGAGATCTTAGCAACATCGCAATATATCCTGTACATTCCTGTGCGAAGTACAAGGAACGTTAACATGCCCCCCCACCCCACCCCACCCCAACCCCAAGACAAAGAGCAATACTCAAAAAAGAAGCAAAACGCACGTACGGTTTTCCTGCCGTAGGCATAAACATGATGATTTGTCTTTTGAAACGTGTGAGATTTCCAGTTCGCTACGTTAAACCGCCGATATGGGAAAAATCCGCCGGACGGTCCTGGACCAAGAACCGCGCCGCAGGAGCTGATCAGATATCAAAAGAAATTGGAGTGACAGCCCTCCGCATCTCACCTGACTGTTGACGTGTTGAAGATCCTCGCGAAGAGTGGGAGAAAGGGTCCAGGTGACCCAGGTGGGCTGCTGTAATGGTGAAACTATTTTGGCGGTTGTTTTGCTCAACATGTTTGGGACACATAGATTTGGAGGTTTCCTGAAAGTGGGGTACCCTAAATCATCCATTTTATTTTCGGATTTTCCATCAACTAACCAACTATTTTGGTGATCCTCCAATTTTTTTGAAACCCCCCATTTCCAGAAAAAAACATCGCCATCCCGTTTTGATTCGGGACCGGGCCAAGACTCCATTTGAAATGCTGCTGTGCCAGTCTTAGTGGCCATAGGCTATGCCACATCAGTATTTGTCAAACTTGTCGAAAGGGCTGAAGGTGATAATTCATGCACTTTTGTCCATCTTTGCTCATTGCTTATTTCGTACCATTCATTAGCAGAATTTTGTGGTACAAGTTTTGACAGGACAAACACATGATAACACCCCTTCAACATGTCCGAATATTTTTGGGCGACACAGTGGAGACACGGCACCTCCAATTCCACTGGTCTACTCTTCGAAGCCCCGCAGATCCAGCCGTGTCAGTTGTGGCTCTGCCGGCTTTTTTTGCAGCCCCCAAGAAGATGCAGAAAAGTAGTAAAATCCAAGGCTAAAATAGTGGCAAATCAATCAATCAATCAATCTATCAATCTATCAATCTATCAATATATCAATCTATCAATCTATCTATCGATCTAATCTATCGATCTAATCTATCGATCTACCTATCTACCTATCCGATCTATCCTATCCATCCTATCCATCCTGTCCATCCTATCCATCTAATCTATCTAGGCTACCTAGTCTATCTAGTCTATCTAGTCTATCTATCCTATCGATCCTATCGATCCTATCGACCCTATCGATCCTATCGATCCTATCGATCCTATCGATCCTATCGATCCTATCGATCCTATCGATCCTATCGATCCTATCCATCCATCCATCTATCCATCCATCCATCCATCCATCTATGAATCTATCTATCCATCCATCTATCCACCCATCCATCCATCCATCCATCTATGAATCTATCTATCCATCCATCTATCTATCTAGCTAGCTATCTAGCTATCTAGCTATCTAGCTAGCTATCTATGTAGCTATCTATCTATCTGTCTTTCTATCTATATATCTAGCTATCTAGCTATCTAGCTATCTAGCTATCTAGCTATCTAGCTATCTAGCTATCTAGCTATCTAGCTATCTAGCTATCTAGCTATCTAGCTATCTATCTATCTATCTATCTATCTATCTATCTATCTATCTATCTATCTATCTATCTATCTATCTATCTATCTATCTATCTATCTAATCTATCTATCTATCTATCTATCTATCTATGTAGGTAGACCTTCAAAGAGAGCATGATTTCAATGAACACTGAATGGACCCTCTCATGGGGCTGCTGTGGCGATTGACCTATGGACTGCAGGCCAGGCTTGCCTTAGTGAATGTGAGGTTTGGGGATATAATTGTTAAGGAGGATTATGAACCAGACATCGCCCTTATCCCACAAGAACTGGGGTTAGAAGTTACTGCTCTTACGATATAACTGGAGCCGCCAAGTAGCAAAAACACATCGAAAATCCCAACTTCATGGTCCAGAAGGCCAGAAGGTTATCCTTCCCAAGTTTCCAGCCAACTTTGATATAATTCTTTGTCTTTCCTGAGAAATTCCCGACTTCCATTCTACCCGAATATATACCAACAACTACCAACATATTCCATCTGATTTTGTGGGGTTCCACGTTTCTTGAAGCTTGAGGGCAAACCTGGGCAAAACACGCGTTGTACCCTCAAGACTTTGCAGGCTTCGTAGCACATGGACCTTCGCCCCATCGTTTCCGATTTCGGCGATTTGGGCCCCCCAGCTGCAAGTCATCCCTGCAGAAAATCAACGTACATCCACGCATGCGGCTGTGGGTCGTTCACCTGATACCCTCACAGTATTTTTACCTTGATGGGCCTATTCACGTGAAGAAAAAAACCGTAAGAGATATTGACCAATCCCCATCTCATTTTTGAGATGGAAACCTCCAGACAGTTTCAAATTCCACCTCGACGACGGTGCAGCCGGCAAAGCCTGGTGGCCCTGAACAAGAACACATCGATGTCAACGAGTGATGCTGGCGGTTATGTAGGGCCAAATCATGGCTCAGATTTCATCGACCTTTCTGTGCAACGCCTGAATGGTGAAGGATGTGTGTTGAAGCTCAGTGGTTCCTGTACTGGTTGGGAAGTATACCTTTTGGTTTCAACACAACTTCCACAGAAAAAAGGCGGACAACTCACCCTGCATCACCTTGACTCACCCCTGATACTGCACAAAGAATTGCAGGTGCAAGGCATCATCGGCAAGGCAGCGACACTCTCGTGCACTTTTGTTGCAACAGATCTCTATGCTGCGTGGTGTTCTGTCAAAAGTCTGCCAGTCTCTCAGAAAGAGCTTGCATTGCAGGGAGTGACGCGGATAGCAGGCGCAACAACCACCCAATATTTGCGCCATCTCCCCGAAACCATTGAACACTTGACATTTGGCAAAGGGTTTAACCAAAGCCTGGAAGGAGTGACTCTTCCAAGCAGTCTTCAGACCTTGACATTTGGCGATCTGTTTGACCAAACAAAGAAAAAGACATGTTCCATGTACGCTTGGGTTGTTCAATGTAAACATTCCCCACTTCCGATTATTGAAACCTGGCAAGAAGCAGAGTTCCACATCTGTATGTAGCCCATTTGGCTGCCAGCTTTGCTCGCAACTTTTCTTCCTAACGGTTACCGCTTCCGAACATGGCGTCAGTGTTGCCATTGGTGTCATGGCTGGTACCTTTGCTTTCGTGTACGATCACGGTGCAGGCAGAGGGGGATGATATCATGGTTGAAATGGGTAGTTGATGAAAATGGGAAAATATACAGAATCCAACGCAAAAAGGTATGTACATATTGGAGTGGGTACATGCATGATAGACTGATAAACTGATATAGAGTGATAGACAGACAGACGGACGGACGGGGAGATAGAGAGATAAATAGATGGATGGATGGATAGATATTAATTAGATACATAGATCGATGGCACGTAAATAAACAAATACTGTATATCAATGGCGAAATCAAGTTAATCAGTCAACGCATGGCTATATATGCATATAATCTCCATACAAGTAGACATATACACAGTTGATACACACAGCGGTAAAATCACTTTGTCAAGCATTTGATCAGTTGAAGGCCCCATTTGGCGTGGCCAGGCATCATGTGAGGGTGACTCATGTGCACATGCAGCGCAGAGCCCATCGTCACTCGGTGGACACATTTTTTTTGTTCGTCCTCTCGAAATTCGACGACCCCACCTGACAAACATTTTTTTGGGTCCAAGTAAAGCATACATTTTTTGATGGTTTCAAACATGTTCGTTTATCCATCATTATGATGATTGCTTAGAAATATTTTTTCTACTGCCTTTCCGATAGTTGATGCCAATTCGGGTCGTAGTTTCACAAACTTATCAGAAAACTTACCATATGTATCTGCTAGCTCACCGATTTGCCGTTGCTGATGATTCCGAAGTGTTTTGTACCACCATCTTTTTCCAACAATCCAATAGATCTCTGCATTTTTGGTGACTTCAATGCCGATCTTCCACAATTTTCTCCGCGTCAGGTTACTTTCTGTGAAATCAGAGCTGCACAGCGTGCTGGCCTCGGCGACAGCCACGTTGCCGGGCTTGGACCTCAGTGATGGCAACGGCAGCACCTTAAACGACAGCGTGGAGACGATGATCAGGGCCAATTTGGCACATGACTTTGAGGAACATCATAACATTCCGGATCCTGCTGCTGGGTGTTTGACTTGGAGAGTTTTTGTGGGTACTTTTTTGTGTTTTTTTCGATGTGAATGGGAATACGTGTGATTATGTATAATTTACTGTGCCCAGCAAAAAAAAACAGGGTATTTAAGATTGGTCACGGCAAACTGGAGGTTTGCTAGGTCTGCTAGATAACAGAAACAACAAACAACAGATTTGGAATCTGACAATTCAAAGCTCAGGAGATTGGACCTGAATGATAGACTATGTAGATTATGATGTTTGTTGGGTCAGTCATTAACTGTTGGTTGGGTAAAATTTAGGTATAATGGGACGGGATAGAGGTAGTTTTCACGGTGGTGATGATGTTAAGGCGGTATAGGGTATAGGGTTATGTCCACCTCTATAGCTTATTCTAATGTTGTTTAAACTTGAAAAAAAAGCAAAAAAAAGGAAAACACATGGAAAATCAAAAAGCAAAACTTCAAAACCGAAAAAAACAGGAAGCAAAATAAATGGGGAAAAAAAGGAACGTCAAAAAGGGGGAAAAGTGGGGAAAAAATGGACTTGTCCATTTGCATTTTTGTTGTTTTTTTTTTTGTTTTTTCGATTTGCTTTTTTTTTGCTTTTTTTTTTTGCTTTTTGCCTGGGAAAAAACAAAAGCAAAAACAAGCAAATCGAAAAAGCAAAAAAAAAGCAACAAAAATGCAAATGGACAAGTCCATTTTTTTTCCCATTTTTCCCCCTTTTTGTCTTTCCTTTTTGTTTCCTTTTTTTCCCTTTTATTTCGCTTTTGTGTTTTTTGGATTTTGCTGATTTGCTTTTTGGTTTTTGCATTTTTTTTTGCATTTTTCGCGTTTTTTTTCAAGTTTAAAAAACAATAAGAATAAGCTTTGGTTTGGTGAACATAAGTATAGGGCATTTTTTGGTTGGTGAAGGATGGTTTGGTTCAAGTGATTAACCGACCAAAATTGAGAGTATGAAGTTATTAAGCTTCAATATTAAGGATATGAATAGATAACGATGGATAGTGATAGACGATGATAGATGATGGTAGATAATGAAAGACAATGATAGATAATGACAGATGATGATAGAAAATGATAGATAGTGATAGAGAATGATATATATATATACATATATGTATACTGCATATACACATATAAATATACATATATATATAAATATACATATATATATATATATTGACATATCACACGGAGAACGATGTTTGTTAGGTGATGATTAAATTGTAGGGCTTATTTTCACCACCGTAACCTGGGACTTTCTTGGTTGAACATGGCTTGGGGTGAATGGCCACCAAAAGATGGCTCGGGGAAAATCTGTTGCAAAGAGTATTGTGTGTTTCTTACATGGTGTTTGTGGATCATACAGTTTGTATACAAATATATACATCCATACCCATATCCCGTTTATGGGGGTTTCCTAAAATGGGGGTATCCCAAAAATGGTTGGTTGATAATGGAAAATCCTATTGAAATGGATGATTTGGGGGTACCCCCATTTTAGGAAACCTCCATATATGCATATAATATATCCAAAATACATACATGTATACACATGGACTGTACCTACATCAACTATTTGCACTGCCATTGTTCCCACCAACAACTAAGGCCACCAACCAAACGGAGGGTGATTCTGGGATGGGCAGCTTGGGTCGTAACATCGAGTTCATGTTCCTGAAGGTGGCCGAGCTGGAGACTATCGTTGAGCTGCAACAGGCTCAGATTATGTCCCTGACGGATCGCCTGAATGCGGTGGAAAACAAGACCGGTCTGGTGCAGAAGGACTGGGGAAACTTCCCCGGAACCGATTTTTGGGACTGGGGGAAACATTGGGGGGTTGGACCAGGTTGGACCAGGTTGGATGTTTTCGGAAGTTTAGTTCTGCTTTTGGTGCAGGAAATGGATCACCTACTGCCACGTCGAACGCGTTGTTGGCCAAAATACCAAAATCGCTTCTCCGAGGTAGTAGCAACAGTAGCAACCCCTAAAAAGATACTAGAGTATTTTGCCACTATTTTCGTAGGATTTTGCTTCTCTCTCAGTCTCTCTTTTCTTTTGGGTTTTCTAAAGAATGCTTCCTGGCATTTTCTATTCGCCCGGCCATGTTGAGTCCCCTCCAGGAAGTACCTAAGGAGTCCATCCATCATCCCCAACATCCAGAGAAGGTGCAGAAGCTGGTCACTGCAAAGCCAAGCCCAGTAAAACCGGGGGTTCCAATCTAGAGAGCGTATATAATATATTATAATATCATATAATTTTTTTTTGGGTAGCCCCCCTTATTTTATCACTAAGGGTTTATAAATCCGGGGTTGACATTGGATAATATTGAAGACTACTTCAATTTCTCGCCCAAGCACCAACGAACAAACACATTAAAGTACCGTGGACTTGGGTCGAAAACAATGATACTATCTTTGGCGAGATGAACATCCATTGTAGAAAAGCACATTTCAATCCATAAATTATCTTTATACGCAGACACACATTTTCCATCATTTTCCCTATTTTGTTCGCCCATTTTTAGCCCAGGAATATCTTCAAAAAGGTCTGGAAGAAGCATCACTATCAGCGGGAGAAGAAACGCTTCGTGACTCCTGACCATCCAGCCCATCCTTCCCAGAAAGCGAAGGCTGAGGCAGCGAAGGCCGAGGCAAAGAAAAATGAAGCGCTGCTGCAACGACATCAGCAAGAGAATCACCAAGAGGACCACAAGGGGATCCATTGGGCCCCAAAGATGTCACAGTGGGTATGGTATGGTCCAATGACATGGGGATTCACCCGATAAAATCAGCTGACAAAATGATGTGATCAATGGATAGTTGTGTGGTCAACGGATCAGTTGGGCACGATACAAAACCACAAATGAACTATACCTTGTCCGTGACCTCACCCCACGAACAGTTGGCAATCATGATTGATACAGTAGATCTAAGATAGGACCCCTATACGAAAGAGATGATGGTTTTGGTGGTCTGTAGATGAGTGGATGGAGGCTATGTCCAAGGTCTATCACATGAATTGCTTTATATGATTACATAACTTGGTATATTATATAATATACACACATATATTTTAATATACATATATAATCATAAAATACACATCATATACATATATACATATACATGTATGTATATATATGTATCTATCTACATGAATGTGTGTATATGTGGACAACATGACTTGTAAATGGCATTGAACAATCTCCACCCAATGGCAGGATGAGGATGATGAAGTCGAGTTCCAAGAAGACTCTGACCAAGATGTCTCAGACGACTTCGACGGCGATACGAGTCAGTCGTTGATTGACAGCGAAACGAACAGCCTCAGCAACTCCACTGGTTGGAGGAGGGGCGTCACGTACCACAGGTTACCACAGGGCATCCTGGGGAAAAAGCTCAAGCCGTGGGCCCTTTCTGGGCAACGACCCCAGAGTTTTCCAGAACTTTGGATGTTTTCAAAATGTGGATTTCCAGTTCCGCATTTCTTTTTGCAGCTAGATTTTTCTGGGGACTCTGACCAGAACGGGGGCCCACCTGGACATGACCCGCCACTAACTTTTTTTTTGAGGCCAGGCCGTCGAGAGTGTCCAGCTACCATTCGGATCATTGAGAATTGCCTCGATCCGAAATGGGTATTGTAACGACAATTTAACTCTCAGCTACAGGGAGTAGAACCACCCTCACAACGGACTGACTTGGCTATATGTGGGCTAAAAATGATTGAAATAACCCATGAAAACTGAATGGGTGAACAATTGAATGTTCAAAAATCAGCAATTCACATATAGATACATATAGATCATCTGCGGGGGATTGGGCTGCCAGCTGTTTTCAACTTTTCTTCACGAAGAAACCCACGTAGCCTCGGAGGGTTTTGTGGAATGATCTACTGGGGAAACTCACATTTGCAAAGCCACCTTGAAAAACTCACATTCAAGGTTTATATGCCCCATGGGAAACTTGGGTATGATTTTGAACTTGAAGTGGATGAAGTCCTAAGATTTGAAAGCCAGTGGGCCATCCCCAATTTCGAAAAGTGACGGTTTACAGCATTGGGTCACCAAAGAAAGGTTGACCGATGTCTCAACGATGTCTCAAAAAATCATCTGATACTTAGATCACAAATCCCATGGGATATCCCATTCATCCCACTTTTTTCTTGGCTGATTTATTATCCCCAGGACTTTGTTGCTTAAATCCAGGCATGAAACAAATAGTTTGGTTGGCGAGACTCACCCTTTGTTCGATAATTGCATTGGTTTAATTATTTGCTTGAATCTGATCAAAAACATCCCATTGTGTATGCCCATTCAATTTTCTTGGCTAATTCTCAAACCGATCTATCTCCATTACACCTTTTGGTACTTTAACATAGCTATGGAAGCCATGGGCCGATAAAATTCCGTATCAGAAACCAACGAGTCGGATCAGCGTCACAGCGCAGCGTCCTGAATCAACATCCAAAGGTCCGGATCAGCGTCGCAGAATCAGCGTCAAAGACGATCCGGGATCTACATCGTTGACGCCTTGTTTTAAAATAGTTATAGTTATTGTTATTGTTGTTGTTGCCGCTTGAGGTCGGATGATGATGTTGTCGCTTGAGCTTTTGTATTTTCGATTTGTGGACGCTTGCAAGATCAATGATACAGTCAGAACCTCAGATGTGTTGCTGCGCAGCTTTTTTTTTGTCGCGTGCCCAATCTTGGGCATCAATCTTTTACCCAACATGCTAGTTTCCAGTCTTGGGCACCAGTCTTTGACCCAACATGGTGGTATGTCATGTCATGTTATGTCATGCCATGTCATGCTGATTCACACCATTTTTTGGAGGGGAGATCGGTTCTTTTACTGTACTGGAGCTTCCCATGCTGTTCTTCATCATCATGTTTCTCTCCGCAACATTTGATGTCAAAACCTGCTAAAGAAGAGGATCAGCAACCTGTTCAAGAACGAGGACACTGAAGCAAAAAAGTCCGACGCCCAAGCTTCCAAGGGAAGCCAAACCGCGTCGCCCTAAGTGTGCTGTACTGTATGCAGAACTTCCGACCCTGGTTGGAGACTACAGTACGATTAAGAATATGAAGATTGTGGGCTCCATTGTTGTGTACAAGTTCTACAGGTTGCCCAAGAAGGAGCGTGAATGTTTCTCTGAGGACTCTTCGGCGAGGAACGATGGAGATGCTTCAAGGTCCACGACCATTGACATCGAACAGAAGGAAGATAATGATGATGTTATGGAAGGCCAGAACGTACTGTACTTGAAGCCCAGACCAATGAACTTTCTGAAGATGACCATCTCTGGGATGATTCTTTGTATTGTACTGTACAGTACTAGCCGTTCCTTTCCCTAGCCATTGAAGCTGTGGAAAAGGTGAGCAAGGATACAGTCCTTCCACACCTTTGTTTCACAGGCTTTTCCGCTGCCAACACACACGGCTACAGTACTGAAAGTGATTCTGTACTACAACTGTACCGTACTGTGGCCGTGCCTTTCCCTAGGCACTGAAGCTGTGAAAAAAGACGAGCAAGTATACAATCCTTCCCCACTCTTTTCTGCTGCCGACACGCGTGGCTACAGTACTGTAAGTGATTCTGTACTAGAGAGCAGATGAAGGGAGTGTGGAATTCCGCATCAACATCCCTCGATCAAAACCGACTGGCTCTTTTTGTGTGTTAAAAACTTCTGGCTGATGATGCTTTCCTGTACGGCATTGTAATGATATCTTTGTTCATGAAGAAGTAGTGTTTTATTGTTTTATTGTTTGCATGGCATGACCCGTGCACATGGCATGTTGGTTCCCATGCTTTGTTTCCATGACATGGTGGTTCCCATGTCTAGAGTAGTCTATTTATGTATTACTGTAAAGTAGATGGCACAGACACTTTGCTCATGAGGTTTGGGGCCTGTCAAACACTTCCTTGCCAAGGCTTGGATTTCAAGTTCACGCCATTGTGTCATTGTCAAATTGTCGTACTCTTGCTGTACTGGACTGTATTGTACTGTACTGTACTGTACTGTACTGTGCAGTGCTCTAAAAAACTGTACTGTACTGTGCTGTGCTGTGCTGTACTGTACTGTTCATGGGTGCAGCCCTGTACTGTATTGTAAACGTGTGATGATGTGAACTTGCAGTATTGTACTTTACTGCTACAGCAACTGTATCCTGTGCTGGGGTTCCAGAAGAACGAGAAGTACAGCACTGTAGATGAGGAACGTGAAGGAGAAGCTACTGCATTGTGAAGGTGGCGCGTTTGATTCATTTTCAAGGTTAGCAGCAGTGTACAAGTATTGTATGAAGATTCAAAAGGCGGACTGACCAATATGTGCAGCAATTGGAAAGAAACTATACCGTTCTCTGAGAGATCGTGAAAACATGGTGGGTTCCAAAGAATACAGTTGTATTGTTGCAGGTATGTGAGCTACATGTTGGTCCGAGACGAAAATAGTTTCATCAATGGTGACAGAAACAGCCTGTGAGAAAACGTTAAATGCTTTCGAAACGACGCCCTGAAGGAAACCTTTGCTTCACCATGTGGAAAAAGTAAGACAGCTGTTCAGCAAAAAATGCTGCGTCGTTTGGATACATGGTTGGAATGGTTGGATGGTCGGGATGAGGGTTTCTTTAGGGTCTCTTTTAGGGTTTCTTTTAGGGTCTCTTTTAGGGTTTCTTTAGGGATTCTTTAAGACGGTCGTGATGGTTGGGATGGTTGGGGGTAGCCTACAAGGTTGCCATCTATACCGTCCCGATCCAGCCCACGTAGATTCCGATCCAGCCGTCTAAATTCTGATCCAACGAACCCGATCCGACCTGCGCCCCCATGGCCCATGTAGTTCCATGATATTTTATTGTTTTCAAAAATAGTGATTTTTGGTAGCAAACTGTTACCGGAGTGCAGATCCGAATCCAGATATTGTCCTATTATACCACCAGTAAAATAACCACCATATTTTTGGTTCAATCAATTCAATACCCCTATTTTTCTTTAAAACAATTTTTTATTGCCTGTATACCATGTGTTACATCCCATGATAAAAACTATTATACCAGCATTTTTTGGTTGGTTCAATCCTTATTTTTCTTGATGAATATGGGTTTGTCTGAAAATAGGGGTTTCCTAAATCCCCTGATTGATCTTGATTTTCCCTCTTAAAATTGGTCCTTTATGATCTGGACCCAAATTTTCAGGGTTAGATTCCCCATCTTTTAAAATTATACCCCATTTTCAGAACCATCTCCCCTGGAACCACCTCCGCAACGGTCTCCAGGAGGCGTCGACGCCGATGGATACGCCGCCGCATCTTCTCCTCGGTGGTGAACACCGTGTCCAATGCTGTGACTGGACGGAGGGATGGGGGAACGAAACGACACTTCCATGGGGATATCCCATGCTATTCCATGACATCCCATGATTAATATAGTTGGTTCTCAAAAAGAGGCCGAAAGAATCGTGTGACACCAGGAAGGTTCGATGATATTTGCGTTCCAGGTTTCCAGCTTTGCATTTTTTTGGGGGTTGCTATAGTGGGATAGTACCCCTTTAGGGTGTAAGATGGTACATGAACCAGAAACATTGGGGCTGTAATGTAGAGAATACTAGGGAAATATTGGGCGATAATATTCAACAATAAGGGTTCTGATGGATGTTGAGTTCTGATATCGATGTGGGTTTAACCAGCCAAAATATGCCAAACATGGAGATCTAAATCTCATTTTATTCAACAGAAATATGGGATTTAACCAATAATGTTTGGGTTCAAGTGGTTTGGTCATCAACAACTAATTGTTTTCTTCAGGGCGAATCTTCACCTTCTATTGAGGGGTCACCTGTTTGAGGGTTCTTTCTTGTTTCATAATGTAATCGTTTGTCCTTCCCAAGATTCCCCAGTATACTGTACTACTACTATATTACTGAAGATTTCGGGATTGTTTACTTTTCTCTTTCAAGGTTTTTCTTCGAAACAAATGTGAGGCAATGGGTTATTGGAATAGAACACCTGTGATTTACCCCGAAACGGGGGATGATGATTGGCTCTTTGTGATTATAGTTCGGATCTCTACGAAGAAGTGATTAGGGTATCCAGCCAGTGTGGGGTCTCAGATATCTCGTTTAGATCATATAGGCCTTTGATTTTCATAGATTCATCGATTTCTTTTCTTCCCGGCAGAACGATGATCCCATCAGGGGCCACCATTTTGGGATCCTTTGTAGGCGAGCAGTGCGGTCAACAGTGTCACCAACACCATGGCAGATGCCTATTCACAGGCGGCCGATAAGGTGGCGTTTCTCGGACGTTTCAGCGCTGAAAACACCCCTGGGAACTGTGAATTGGAGGGCTGTAATTAGTGCACTCATTCTGATAGTGATAGGGTGGACCAATCAATTGTTGATTTTGAAATTGGATGGATTATATGATATTATATGATATTGAAATAGTACCGGACTCAATCTTATTGTAAAGCCGTCACTGGCCCGACGGTGGGAAATGGTGGTCAAAATTGTGGAAACCATCCCACAATGGCATTTCAGGTTCGATTCTCGTAATTCATCCAGATGAATTGGGAGCGGGATACCATTTTGTTAGTCCTTCGGATCAAATGATTGGGGGACCCCCCCCTTATGAGTACACTGGGGGTTCATTATTGCACAATCGATATTCGGATTGATCCCCAGAGTCCCAGGTGTTCCCATCACTCTGCAGGGTTTGCTGGTGAACCACGAAAACAGGAAATCAATCGAGGCCAAGTTCACATGGTTGACTACGAAAAATGTCACGTTGAGTTTTTGGGGCCTCGTATTTCTTTTCATTTCGGGGAATTTATTGGCATGAATCACTTTAGTCATCCAGTACTTGAGGAATGCAATTTTTTCTGGACACTAATGAGCATACTTTCCCAGATGTGGGTCGTTTACGCACCCAGTGTACCATCTCTGATTTCCATGATTCTGGATGGACACTCCCAGTTTGATTCCGTGGAGACTGTCGTTCACTGAGAGGGCTAATCACTATGGTCATGGCAAAATGTTCAGGATCAGGACTGGCGACTTCAGCCGATTTTCGGTTTTGGAAAGTCCGGATTTTGAGTGTTGAACAAAGGCCATCAGAGTCTTTGGGGAGGTTATGGTAGTACTGCGGTGGGGGATGGGTGAGAGTCTTCTAGGTTCTTCTTTGCCCACCCCTAGTTTTACATGTATATAGGATAAACCCAAAGTATTGTGGAGCTTAGCATGGATAATCACCCTTCTCAACAGGACAGTCGCCAATATATGGATATATACATACGTATATATATATATATGTAATATACATATGTATATATTTATATTTACACAAATACATACGTATATATATATATATATATTCACGTAATATATATATCTACCTATATACATATGTTTACACATATATGTATATAAATACACATATATTTATTTACAGATACATATACCAACATACATACATACATACATACATAAATAAATAAGTAAATAAATAAATAAATATATATATATATATTTATAAGTAAATAAGTATATGACAGAGACATCCAGCCAGTGCTCGGCACCTGTGGAGCCAAGTCCTGACTCGTGCCCTTGCGGCCGTGGTCCACTACAACGACAGCAGAGCTTGGCAGGAGTTGCTCATGCTTCTGCAAGCAGTGCTTTGCGCACCACCACCAACCGGCCGCAAACACAAACGAACGTCTGCGGCATTCACCCTAGACCGGCTGCAGCGTTGGGACAATGGGGAACGTGAATGCCTTTGGTCCACTCGGCCCGCTGGAGGCATCCGGCCCCACGGGCCGCACAGGCCTGAGCAACAACGGAGACGCCACCAACAACCCTTGCCTGGCAGCCCTTGAACTCGTGCCGGACCTTGTTGGCCGGGCTCTCCGGAGCTTGTTGCCCGGAACAGCTCCAGATCCTTGAGGCCTCCGGGCGCAACACCTAAGCCGATGGCTTCTACCAGAAGCTGACCGCTGTCTTGAACTTGCTTTCCTCTGGGGGGGCGGCTCCAGCCAAACCCGCTTGAGCGCATGGACTGACTCGTGCTCCCGGGGCTGCAACCCTTTTTGCTTTATTGTTCTGGGTTTCCTGAGGTCCCAGAACGTGCGTATAGACTCGCACTTGCGATCCTGGAACGCGTCCATCGTTTTTTCCACCAACATCCTTCTCCCCATCACCCTTAGGATCGCATGTTTTTCCCTCCTTGTGGTCAGCGGGGTTGATGTAACTGGAATTTTCCATACTTCTGTACAGTTGAGTAGGGAGTTTCCATGTCCAAGTACTCGTCTTAGTTCAGACTAATCATTAGCTTAAATTTGCCTTCCACCCCTTATGTATATATATATATATACACATACATATAATATACATTTTTCCACATGGCACAACGAAGCGTGAACTGCGGCCAGGCATGGAAATTCTGTCTCTTGCAGGCTAAGTAGCAAAATCGGGACCTGCACAGTGCCCATACTCGCGCACGGTCATGCGTCGGGCATGTCCCTGAAATTCACTGCTAACCTCAAAAGAATCATCAACAGGATGCCCCTGCAAAGATTTGAAGAAACCCCCAGCTAAACCTGCACACAGCGCTGGGGGGTATTCTTTCAAGAAACTAGTGGCCCAAAAGCCGTCACTTGTAAGCCCTATTGCCGTCTGGTGCGGCACATCCTTGGCTATTTGCCAAGAGCGCAGCTCCCTCAGCATCTCAGGCGCATTGAGCAACAGCAGGCCAGTCGGTTTCATGCTCGGAGCCCCCCACAGCCCTTGCGAGAGGGTCAAAAAAGCAAATTCAGGCCATGTCATGAGGTAAATGATGATGGGTAAACGCCAGATTGACGCTTTCGTGGGATCTTCAGGTGGGGCAGGATGTTCCAAGCAACCAATGCCCCCAGCGTATGCCAACATGATCAGGAGCTCCACAGTGAACAGCAAAAGCAAATTGCCCGTGTCAAGCTGCTGGAGCTCTTTGATCGCCAACGCCGCCCGTCCCCACAAGGTCAAAAGGTCTCGTAGAACACGCGGGGCAGCTCGTTGTGGTCGATCAGCTGGAGCTGGCACCCACTTGCCCCTCGCCTGCGACCATGTCTCGCAGGGAGGGCCTGCTAGGGCCCCAATGACGAAACGATCGCGCACCGCCGTGAGCCAGAAGGAGCGCACAGTGGATTGAGCAATGTCTCCCCAAACGGGGTCCGTCATGAGATCAACCGATATAGTGTGGATAGTCGTAGCATCATGCTGGGACTGCATCTGGTCAAGGAAGTATTGGAAATCACCCGGGCGGCGCCTGCCCGAAAACGCGTGGATGATGTAGCGCTCACGCAACATCGGCCGCGGTGCTGGCCAAAAAGGAGCTCGCATTGGGGCCGACTCTGCCGCCTCGTTGCAAGCCTGATCAATCACATCCTGACCAATGGGGCGCTCTGCCGCACGGCTGTGCGCGCAGGAGTCGTGGAGAAAACCCCACTCATTAGACGCCAAGAGCTCTCGCAGCACGGTCTTGATGTCCTTGTGCATAATCGCAAGCGCCTGAATGTCCTCAATGGTGAGCTCGCCAATCAAATAGTGCAGGGAAGCCCGACACGTCTGCCATGTGACAGGATGCGCATAGACAACCTCCTTGATGATAGCTGTGACGTCAGACCTCTCCTCGCGCTCGAGTAGCGCCAAGTAAATCTTTTCTGCAAGGTCGAGGTCATAGTCCGGGATGTCTTCAAGACGTCCATCAGGAAGTTGAGGCCCTGCTGCTTGGAGAGGTGGAAGGACATCTTGCTGCTGGTGCAATTGAAAGTCCACGTTCGACCCGCTTCCCTGTGCAGGAATAAAGTATCTACGTCTCCCCCAGAGGCGATGGCGACAATGTCCAGCCCGTTGGAGATGCGCCTTGAGCTTCGCCATGGTGTGATATTCACGCAGGCATGAACTGCATTGAGTCTGATCACAAAGGAGTCTGACTTTCGCAACTAGATGGTGCACCTTGAACATGTGAGCGCCTAATCCACCCTTGCTCTTGAAAACCATACGACAACACATGCATGCTTGTGGAAAATCTTCCTCTCCCTTCTCCCATGCTGGTGTGGTTCCAATGTCCTCAAATACGTCCTGCGTAGCTGGGTGCTCTCTGAAAAGACAAATGAAACGTCGATGAAAGCCCAAGACCCGTTGGTGATTGCGCCGCTGAAAACAGGCATGTAAACCAGCTCTTTTCACAAGCCGTTTCCAGTAGGATGCATGATGTTGCCAAATCGAGGTCCATGGAGCTAGGTCTGACAACGGGTCAGGGAGCCGACATGTCTCTCGGAGTTGCGACCACATCCACGATAAATCATCTTGGATCAACGTCGTCCAAGCCTCATCAGCATTGAGGAGCCCCCAAGGTACAAGATCTTGGCATCGATAAAGAGTCCCAATGTAGCGCAATCTCGCCAAGCGCAACACTTCTGTGGGACTATTGAGCCCTGTCTCTGTGAGAATGTCTTCATCCTGGAGGTGTTGATTGTAAGACCCAGGCATGAGTCTGCGAAAGAGACGCATCAAGGCATTGTGGACATAGGTCTTGGTCTGTCGCTCCGACAAGATCCATGACTCCGTGCCAAAGCTGAACTTACTCAGGATGAGCGTACTGAAAAGTTCCGTTCGTCTCCTCATACTCAATGCTGGATTCGAAAATAAAAGACGTCTGTGTTGGTTGAAGGCCTGCTGCGCTATACCAACACGCCGTCTTGCCTCTCGTCTGTTGTCAGGTCGATGGTGAACCAAACAGCCTAAATGGCTATACTGATTGACAACTCGAATCTTCTTCACTCCCATCTCGCCCATCAAAAGGAGTGTGTGGTCAGAGTTTGGGCCAAAGTAACGAACTCTCATCTTCCTTGCTCCTTTGCCTTGGAACACCAAAAGAACTTCTGACTTCCCTGGTTGCAGATTGGGCGTGAGCCCATGTGATTCACATAATCCCAGCAGGATGCCGGTGGCCTGCATGATCTTGCGTTCAAGGCGCTCATGACAAGGGTCTGAAACGCACACGCATGTGTCATCCATCCAAGTCGGTCCAAGGAAAGCCTGTTGAGGTAATGCAGGAGAGGCTGGTGTAGAGGGCAGTCTGAGTCCTTCCTCCGCATTGACGTGTTCCCCAAGTCCAAGGTCAAATAAATGAGCTTGAAGGCGATGTAAAATGCGCCCCCAGCACCGTCCGACATGTGTCGGTCTGGCCTCTGATGTGGAAGTGCGTGTCCTCATGCAGCGCACGAATCGTGTTCTGCATGTGCGCGGGCAATCCAGCAGCTGCCGTCGCTGGTGTGTCATCAAGGTGTTGGTGCAGCTCCTGTAATAGGTCTTCAGAGAGTCCAAGCCTTGCCCCAACATAGAGGATGAGAGTGTCATCAACTTCACCACCAATGACAAGCGGTCGTAATATTCTGTAGAACGCTTCCGTCAAGTCAAGGTAAAGCATTGCAACATTGTGTCCAAGGGACGTTCTCGATCTCAAGAAAGCCCTGCCCAGATGGACACCCATGGATACAGGCACTCTAGGGCGCCCTCCAAGCTGCTCCTTCTGCAGGAACTTGGTGAAAAGGGTGTTTTGTCGTTGCCTGATGCTCCGATGTAGGCATTTCCCTACGTGGCTGGATATCAGAATACTTCGGTACGAAGTACAAAGGTCCTTCGGACCCTTCATCTTCCACACAGGGTGAAGCACACCACCCTTATGCACCAAAGATTCTTGACCGTGTGTGGTCAGCTTCAATAACTGCCCAAAAGTCTTCCGAGCCAGGAGTTGTGGGGCGGCCTTGCAAAAGGCTGGGTGCACACCATCGGGACCCACCGCCTTGGTGGGCTGCACCCGTCGGTAAGCTGCCTCCAAATCAACCAGTCTGGGTAGCTCTTGTCCATCAATGTTGAAGGCCTTCTGCCGAAACGCTGCCAAATTCTCGATCCATTGATCTCGTTGACATTCCAATGACATGCGTGTGCCGCCCTCCATCTGCCTGAAAAACTCTGACCATGTCTCAATGGCTTCATTGGGCAAGGTACAATGTTGGCCCTCCGCATTCTTGATGTGTGGGAGATTGCCAATCTTCAATTTTTTCAGGTTGGATGGCCCAATGAAAGGACGAAGCTCCTGTAGAATTTGACCTGCAGAAACATTCGGAGACAAAGATGCAAACTTCTCCTGCACAAGCTGTCGCTTGGATTTTTTGAGGCCGTTCCTGAGCTCGTAGGTGGCCTTGTGATAGGCCGCAACCAACCGCAAGTTGCTGCAACGCAATGTCGTGCCATAGGACCAAAAGCGGTCAGACTTCTGAAATTCAGTCTCATGTCTCGCTTGTGCCCAGGCCGCAAAAAAGACCACAAGTCTTTCATCACGTTGTCGATGTGCAAGTTGTCGGAGCTGACCTTTGAGCTTGATCTTCTGGCTTCTGAGATTCCAAAGATGCTCATTCACATAGGGCTTCTTTGCACAGTTTTTCTGTCTCGGGCAAAGGCGATGAAGACCATGCAGTACTTGTTGATTGAAATCATCAACATGTTGCTCAATGTTTTCATTCCACGCAGCAGGCTCATAATCATGCAGAATCTCCTCAGCAATCTTCAGGTTGATCATGGTGTGGTCAAATGCCGGTGTCTGCTTCTTGCGAGTTGCATCCACAGCGACTGAGATACACCAGTCTAAATCAATTGCTGTCGCCTCATGGTCCCATCCACCATGTCCAAGATCAAACTCAGGGACGACTCTGGATAGTGTGCATGCCGCCTGCAAGTCTTCAGAAAGAAGAACATAATCAATGCAGTGGGATTGCATGCCTGTTGGTTCAGTCCATGTGTCGATGGGACCTTGATGGCAGCCTGCAGTACAAGGAAAACAGAGCCCATGTTCAGTTGTGAATCTTCTGAGCAGAGGCGTGCTACTAGAAGTTGGCAAATCATCTCGATATACTGAATGGCCGTCTCCTGTCCCTGGTGAAGCATTCGCATCAATCATGACTAAGAGCGGTTCATGTGAGCTCCGGCGCCGCACAATGTCATCCAGGTGCATCCACCATTCCTCACGTTCTCGCCATGATAGACCACTGTGGGGTGCATATGCAACTAAAAGCCATGCATTCCAGATCGTAGTGTCAACTCGGACAAGCAAAGCACGTGCATCTTTGTATGCGATCTGGAAGTCGTTCTTCTCAAAGTACATGGGCCTCTTGTCAATGTAAGCATATGGCTGTGCAAGATTGATCCAAAGTTCAACACCTTGTTGGTGTTGATTGCTGCCAGATGCTAATCTGTAGATCTGGTCAACGCAGGAGCATATCTCTTGTGCTTTCGTCTCTTGCAAGCCAATAAAGTTGAACTTGGTCTCGTTGTTGCTTGCGCAAATAGTCAATCTTGCCTGCATGTCCATGCGGAGCCGTGCCAAGTGAATTCACATTGGCCGTGCAGACACTCACACGCAAGTTGACAGTGCGCTGCTTGTGGCGGGCTGTGCTGGGTGTGCACGCACTCTTCCTTGCTGATGGTAGTTGTGGTGCAGGAGCATGAAGACCACGACCACTGAATTTTGGGAGGTCTCTGTGATCCCCTATGGCAATCCACAAATGACCAAAGGCCTTTCTCCATTTTCGCATGTCCAATCGAGGACGTTTGGCATAAAAGCTCTTTGCTCTCTCCATTTTCGCAAGCCAATCGCATAGTTCGTTCCATGGTTCACCCGCGTGGCCAGCCACATGAGAGTATGCAAAGCCTTTGGGGCCTAGCGCCGCCTCAACCGCCTGATAGACACCGCGAAGGACTTCGAAAGTCTCATCGGCACTGCCCGTGCCTAGATGGCCAGAAGCTTGACCAAGTGCTACACTGGAATCAGATCTGAAGCAGGTGTGGATGTTCCAATTCTGGCTGAGCCGCCAGATTCCTGCCCATGCTAGTCCCTCTTTTTCGGCAACATCTGCGCCGATACGGGTAGCTCCAAGGTGGGCATTGCTCGCGGTGTCATAGTGGATCCCATGAGCACTCCATCCAAGCAGCTTCAAACCAGGCGGATCATATCTTTCTCCAAGTACCAACATGGCCCAGGTGTCCCCAGTGCCTTCTTCTTCCGCTCTGAGAGGTGGTTGGTGCTTGTATTGTCCCAATGATGAACCATCTGTATAGATCAGAAGTCGGTTCAATTCTTCATCAGGGATGTCTTGGGCACAGCTATCAACAGCCCGTTGGAGAGGTTCTGGTAGTTCAAGACCTTCAAAATTCTGAAAAAGAACATCATCATGTGAACAGAAGAGGTCCATCAGATCGGCCTCAACAATGCCAATGTCAATGATGTGGTCACTTTCAATGGACTTCTCCGGAATGAAAAATGGTTTTCTTCCTATTGGTCCCAACTGCATGGAAGGCCAAGTTGGAACTCCAGCTCGATGTTTGTGTGGCTGTTGCATGACAACTTTTTGGTCGTCAAAGCAGATCTTGTAGATCTTGTGATAGACCTCCTCGTAAGATCTGATCAATGCCCTCCAAAATCCAAGTTGGTGCAGGTGTGCCATGAGATCATGCTCTGTCATAGGTTGCTGCGACGTGTGTAAGAAGACCGCATTCTCGTCCTCAATGTCCAAGTTGACCAGGACATAATGATGTCCATTTGCACTGTCTGTATCAAAGCATGCAACTCGGCCTCGTTCTCTGCAAACTACAGCTCTTCCTTGTATGCCCCATGTTGCAAGCTCCTGATGTATCATCTGGGTGTCTGCATTTGCGGGCAATTCAATGTAATCCGGATGTGGGCTCATCGGCTTCGCCCAAAGCACTTGCAGAGCTTCTGTGGCTTGATCAGCTAACACTGGCGTGGCTGGCAAACTGATGAGTTCGTCAAGCTGAAGCACTTTCCTCTGCACACTACGTTGCAGAAGGTTGAGTCCAGTTGAGCTAGAAGAGGAACTCGATGCACCAGCGGTTGCCAGTCCGGTGATGATATCCCGCATGTGGTTGAGTATGATCAAAAAGCTGTGGCCATGCTGCGTGTAGAAAACCTCTTCATTCTGGATGTCATGCTCACCATGTGAAATCATGCAATCAATGAGGCTTGGCACCATCCGATCATGTCGGTAACCAATGAGGTCATAGAAGATGAGCTTGGTGATCTGTCTGGGCGCAATGGTTACAAGCATGCGCGAAGGCATCGCCCTGTTCTCTGTGTCAATGACCGTGAGATGGATGCTACAAAACCCTGCACGTGGGTGTTGTACAATGAGAATGTGTGGAACTGCAAGGGAGCTGGATGCACTCGCTCTCGGTGTTGGCCTGATCAAGTAGAAGTCGATGACTGCGTCTGGATCGATCCAATCATCCCACGCTTCCGCTAATCGATCTGGCCAGTTCCATGCATCTCCAAGCAGTCTCACGGCACGCATTGTGTGACATTGTGGTGCCCTCTCATGGTCAGTGTACCATGTGTTCACATACAAGACTCTTCCTTCTTCCTCTGTTTCTCTCTCCGCATAATAGTCCCACAGTGACTGCAAAGAGTGGAGAAAATGGACCATTTCCCCGAAGATGAGCTCGGGCCTGCCAACTTCTGGCGCAGGTAGGGTCTCCGTGGTGAGAACTGCAGGGTCTCTTTGGTTGTCCTCTCCAACTTTGCATTCATGAATTGCACAGGGACTGGGTCTGCGGAGGAAGTCTGGCCACGCTTCATGACTGGGTCTGTGCTGTCCAGAAAGCTGTAGCATGTTCATGACTTCCCTGTCGTAGTCCAGATCCACAATGCGAGGCACATAGTTGAACGTGTCAATGATGGGCATGTCAGCAACATTGATGCCATTCTCCTGAGCTTCAAGATAGGCAGGGATTGCTGATACTGTGTAGCCTCTTCTCATGCATTGTGCTACTTCTCTGGTGTAGTATTGCCGTAGTGCTCCACGTGCCGGTGGTACTGCAATTTTGATATAATCCCCATGCCGCAAGTCAATCAGAGCCCGTTGTTGAGCCCCCACCAGATGCTTGTTGTGCCAAACAAAGCAAACATGACGTGCATATTGGCAATATGGTTGCAGTCCAAGTAGAGCAAGCAAAGCTTTCCTCGCAATGGTTTTGGGCAAAAGCTTGACTCTGCGCACACTTTCGGGCTCAAGGGACGGCAAAGCACTGTGAAATTCCACGTCCAGGAGCACAAGCTGAAAGGTGGAACCCTCCGTGATGTCCTGCGGTTTCTGCGCTATAAAAGCCTGAATCCGTGCAAGAAGGAGATCTTCCGGTGTCGCATGTACATGATGTAGCATGGTGAGGTCATGGGAACTGATGCAAAATTGATGAGCAACATCTGCATGAAGTTGTTCATATGTTTGCCATCTCGGTCTGCAATGTAGAGGATCATGGTCAATAGAATACACTATGACTGTCCTTCTGTCTGCTGCGCTATCAGATGCAGAACTTGAGGTTTCACCAGCCTCACTCATTCCTTCATCTTCACGAATAACTGCATCATCAAGATGGACAGCATCAGGATCGTTTGTCACTGCCGGCTGTCCATGATTCTGAATATTTTGAACATCTCGATCGTGTCCAACTGTCCATGTGGACATCCAGGATGTTTCATCATCATCTTCTACATGTCTTTGGAGTGTGAAATTCTCATCGCCACACTCAATTTCATGTATGTATCCTTGTACTCCGCTATGACAAAGAAGAGGTTGTAGGTCAACATGCCACTTGAGAAACAAGTTTGAAGTCTCTTCCCCCACATAGACCTCTTGTTTCTTGCTGAAGCTCACTCCCCTATAGCGCGTCCTGCTTCTCTTCGGTTGCAAGGGCGGCAAAGAGGAAGTGCTTAGGCTTGGGCACATTGTTATAGTTCCAACCTCCCAGGCAAGGTCGAGACCCTCAATCGAAGCTTGCCAAGTGCCCGTGTAGCTGGAATCTTCTAGGATGCTGTGGCTCCAGTTCAAAAGAGCTGCCTGCGAGCCATCTGTCAGCCCTTGACAAACCTCTTGAAAGTCTATTTGTCGGGCTTCCCAAAAGGCGCCATTGATGGTGAAGTAAATCCAGTAGAAGCTGGTGCCCCTTCTCCTGGCTCTTCCAATCGTGGACGCTTGTTCTTGTTCTCGCCTGCTTCTATGATTGCTGCTTCTGCCGTCTGATGCAGCTTTTGCAGGTTCTCGACCATGTGGCTGATGTTGGCTTGGATCTGCTCGGATGAGTCCACCTTGTCCACCATCTCGTCGTCTGAGATCTCTATGTTGGTGTCCGCGTCGAGCTCCTCCAATGCCGCCTTCCTTCTTCCACAGTGTCCTTTGTCTGTTGCAGTTTCTCTTGTGCTGCTTTCACCTTGTCTGCAAGCTCTTGATCCTCCTTGGCGAACTGTTCCGCAAACTGCGACCATCTCTTCGTCGAATCTGCCACATATGCTCGCCAATTGTTGTGAAGGCTGAGGCGAGCTTTCTGCGCCTCCTTGAGCTTTTTGCGCGCCTTGTCCATCTTGTCCACCGCATTCTTGAGGCTCTTCGAAGTTGGCACAGGCGCTGAATTCTCTACGACAATGTGGGCAACACTGGCAGGTACTGTTGTGTTTGTTTCCTTCAGTGCAGTTGCAAGTAACGTGAGATTTTCTGCAGCTGCTGAATGATCTTCTCCACCATGAGCCACTTGTTGTGGCGCTCCTGCATAGCTGGAGTTCCACGGCGGTTCCGGCGGTGGAACATCGTAGGAGTTTCGACCATCTGCTCGAGGTTTGGCTCCTTTCTTCTGCTTCGGAGTCTTCTTGCGAGGGGTATCTCCACGTTGGCGATAGGCTGATGACGAACCATAACCTTGTTGCCAGTTCGAATCGCCCCAGTCTACATCCTCGTTCCAGCCCGTGTAGTTCCAGTTCCCTGTTGACTGTTGCACACGTCTGGGACTCTTTGGCCTGGCATTCATGTCCTTCTGCGGGGTGTAGGATGGATCCTGTCCATGAGTCCACTTTATCCCACACCTGGCACAACTCTTTGTGTTGGCCTTGTTGGTTCTCCAGCAAAAGCTGCAACGCCAGTCCACCTGTGAGAAAGCCATCTCTGTGGCAATCACTCGAAGAAAATCTCCGTCTGCTGAATGATGATTCTTCAAAGCAACAAACACCCTCCTCAATGAAGCACGGGAAAGGGTCCTGATGCCTGATTTGTGCAGATGCCAAAGCTTTCTTGCTTGGGCCCTTTGTCTCCTCTTCCTTCTTCGCAGAGAAGGCGTAATTGCCCAGGATCTGAAGGATCACTGCAATCAACACAATGATCCGCATGCAAACCCAGCCCTGCAAGAAGAGGTTCACCTGGTGGTAGAGCTCGTACCGAAGCACTGCTCAAGCAAAAGCCGAACTCGTCGAAGGCCACCCAAGATGGCCCGCGGGTCCGTCGGCGAAAAGACCCGCTAAGGCAAGGGTAAGATACGTCGTGGGGAGACCTACCCTGTGATCCCAAACCTTTATAATATACGTATATATATATATACTAACTGATTAACCACATGTTTCTAGCAATTCTTTTTTTCATTACTTCCTTTACAATTTATAGTGCTTTCGATATCATTGGCCACTGGCAACTTGGCACTGTACGGATCGGCCAAGGTTCGTGGCCAACACAGCCATCGACAGCGTGGAGATGGCCGTGGACATCCTGACGCAGGGCTTCAGCGATTGGAGCGCCGATTGCCCCGAGGCGCCCCACTGGGACCCCATGGGACCCATGGGACTCAGCGAGATCAACTGGGGTGAATGGTCGCACCGCAATAAAGGAAAACATTTTTTAGAGTGAATGGTAGCCATATGTAGCCATAATCCTGAAAATAGTGAATGGTCGCTGTTTTTTTTGGATGTCCGTTTTTTTGTTGCGTTGTTTTTTGTGGGAAAAGGACTGTGAGCTCCGAATTCACATCTGTGAGCTGACTTATTCTCGACTTACTTCACCGAGGCTTCCAGACATTTGGATGCTCAGGAATCGAAAGTGGTTTGCAACTATATGAGTTTCCGATTTAGAGTAGGTAGGGGTCAACCACAACTTCGAAATTCCCGATGTTGGCGACCATTCTGGCAACGTTTTTGGGATGTAGACAGCAGAGTACCAGATTCTCAAGACCACTTCCCAAATTGTGTCAGGGAAAAATGATGAGATATCCACAAGCAAGGTTGCTTTTCTGGATTTGTATCAGAATGATGCGCCCCTTGGGCGGGTGAACCCATGAGCCATCGATCATCAGGGCTGGCGGGAAAATTGGTCATTTCACCTCTTTAATCAGGGTGATGAGAGCCCATTCTGTTTGACCAGAACTGTCCCACCATATTGCTCCGTGAGGCCACCAAACCTTCGTTGAATGTGGACTCCAACGGGGTTTCGGTGAATTGGGGTCGACAGAAATGCAGGATCAGTTTGATGGGACAGAGAGTGCCCTGGTCTTTTACAGTTTCAGTGGCAAAAGGTTCCAAAAAACCCATAAAAACTGGTGCTTTTCCATAGTTATGTTAGTTTACCAGAGGGTACTATAACCACCATTATGCTTAATAAAACACCATTAGTCCCAAAAACCCCGAAAAACTTCATGGTCTTCGGAAATCCCGTTCTTAACCAGCCCCGAAGACGAAAGTGATGAACATCAAGTCCCTTGGACGAGAGCGCTTTGATGGTAAACGTTGCTTTGATGGGTTTCTGCGCTATATTTCTTGATTTTTACATACATGTGACCTTTTCAGTGCTTTCGATGGAAATCCATTCCCCATATTTTTTTCCTGGGGCCCTAGGGTGTGGGTTTCTTTTTGATTTGTTTTTGGGACTGCCACTATTTGAGAGATGGATTGACATTATGTATCCATCTATATATACATCGTACACATCAAACTCATATATATATATATATCATATATATCATATATATATATACCATATATATAGACCATATACACAGTATATATGTATAAATATCTATAGATTGGGCTGAACGGATATGCCCACTGATGCGTCTATAACTCTGCCTCCAATCTACCCCGTAAAACTTGACACATGAACAGAGACATCCCTTTAGTGCTCGAATCTTCAGGGAGCAAAATAACACGCGAATTGCTTTACACACACACTGTGCAGATACATGCGTATGTAAAGAAAAACATCCATAAACATGTCTTCAGGCTATATCTGTAGCTATGGACCAACTGTACAGAGACAGACATGCACATATGGGTTCGCCCAACTTTGGCATATAGCCCAAAATTGCCATGGGGAAGATGATGATACAGTTTATCACATGCAGGGTTTCCTCAAAATTTTCAGACAACTGCGATGTGTTTTCCAGCAGGTTTGTCACCCCATATGAACACTTATAACTTCACTCATATCTACATGTACATATTTAGATATACAGTACATGTAAAGCCAAGTATTCCATTGAGTTTGTTATACCCCCTCCATTTTTCTCAGTGAAATCCTCCCTTTTTGAGTCACGTTTCACCAGGTCACCATCTTCGATTTCAACTTCGGCAGCACCAACGTCAACTGGCCCGAGCCTTTGAAGACGGTGGCCAAGCCCGGCTTCCCCGAGCACCTTGGTGCTGCACAAGTTATGGTTTCAATGTGCTTTGTATGAGATTGAATGGAATTGGTTCATAAAGAGATTGGGGGTACCCCGGATTCCTTTCAAGACAGTGGGTAACGGGGGTAACGGTACGAATTTCTCGTCGATACCCAGGGGTCGGTTGGTCGGTTTTAATCAGGATTTGAACCATGGGATGTGCTATCAGACTAGCCCACTTAGCAAGTTGTTTTTGTAACCTTGGTGATTGTAAGTTCCCCACGTGGCTTATGTAAAGCTGGGTTAGTTTGAACTAACCCCACAAGAACACCAAGGAACGTGGGGTCCCAGCATCATAGCAACTCGCAATATATTGGATGCACAGATCCATCACTTCTGGACAACACCGTATCATATTGTTGAATACATATCATTGATGATTATATCCCTGTAAAATATCAAAAAGTACAATTTTTCTTGGTGAAACATCTCTATTTCTGATAGTTAAATCCGCATAACTTGTTGCTTTCAATCCCTTTTGATAGCTTTTGATCCACATTTTTCACGGTGAAATCACAACACAGCCAGTGGTTTTGATTCAGTTTTGATACCAAAAAAAACCATAGCTTTGTTGCTCAAAGTCCCCAAATTTCTGGCAAAATCTCCCTGACTTATCTCAACCTATATCTCCCATAAGATATCTCCCCTACTCAGAAGTTGCCAAGGAACCCCTGCTGTTGCGGTTGCCCAGGTGGAGTGCCGGTTGCCCCGAATTCGCGCGGCCGTCGCTGTCGGTGAGCTCCAACGGTTTGGACTTGGACTTTGGTCGGCAGAAGTGCGAGGTGCGGCTGGGCCGGCTGGCCCACCGCAAGCGTTTTTGTTGCAAACCACTTGGCGAAGTTGATTTGACAAAACATGAAACATATGTATATCATATGATATCATAACCATTCATAACCCAGATCCTCACTGATTTTCATGTCCAGACACATCTTTTCCGACTCGATGAAGCAGTGATTCGTCAGCTCCCGTGAGATCAGCATGATGGGCAAGACCTTGAAGCTCATCGACTTCGACTTTGGCCGCACCAGCCTGCAATGGCCCGAACCCTTGAAGACGGTGACAGAGTTCGGCCTGGCACCCATCAAGACCATGGTGGACCTGGGACGTCAGGCGCAACCCTGATTCAGAGGGGCTGAGTCAAGATTGAAACCCTGGGAACTTGCCATGTTTTTGAGATGTGAAGACTACTGCCTGCCAAAGAATCTCTGGTAAAATGCGGAATTGATTCAACAACAATAATTTATATCTATATATATATAGATTATATATATACACATAACATATAATAACTATAACTACTATGTTTGTTAGTATTCATCCTTCTTCATTGGTTTCACAATTAGATTTGATGTGAAGACGAAAAACAAGACATTCTTTTTAGCTTTGCACCACATTCCATCATGTCCTTTGTTGATTTTTCGGGTTGCGAAGCCAGGTCAATGTTGCATAAACGTTGCAGCCAAAAAATATGGCTTGATTCAAAAGCCAAGTGAGCAGCGTCAAAAAGCCACTGGCTTACTGTCAGATTTGTTAGTATTGGGCTTGGACTAACCTATTGAAAGGGGATTATTAAACCCCATTGGAACAGCAAGAAAAACCTCCGGTGGCAACTCGTTGGTGCTGTCTACTGACTTGGCGAGGCCGTGAATTGCGCCACCGGAGGAGGGCCCTTGGAGGTCTTCAAATGCTTCGGGCTGTTGATCATTGAGCAGGTACCTCCATTGAGCTTCCTCACCAGGCGACCAGGGCTTCACTGCATTCACGTGCCCACCTGAATAAAACAAGCTGAAGAGATCGGCAGATGTGGTGAGCCTCTACTGTTCGGTCCCTGAAGATTTGGGTTTGTCTCAAAAAAAGCTATGCCTTTACTGTCCAATGCTTTATCACCATTTTCCCTCTTAAGCTTGCCATAGCTCGGAAGTACACCATATCATTTTCAAACACACCGAAATATTAAGTTAGTGACATATGCCCAAAGCAAACACACTTTAGATGCCCAGTTTTTATGATTGGCAATTTTGCTTTTCAGATTTTCGTGATTTTCGTGACAGGATGGGTGATATGATCCAGGAGTTCATCGAAGTCTTTGCAGTGGTGGCTAAAACCATTGTGAAAAAGGTGGCCTTTTCGGCCGAAAATCATCTGCGGTTAGAACCCCCCTGTTTGAACGGTTTCGACTTGTCGATGTTTGTTTTACAAAGATCGCCGAAAAAGATGGAACAGGTGAAACAGGCACCACTATTTCGGTAGGATTCTTTTTGAATCTTTTATGGGGGTTGCTATCGACATTTCGATATTCTTGGGAGTTGGTGTGATTTTATCCAAAAAGGATGTGGGATCGAACCCAGAATCACTGGATTCGGGCCTAAGTTTTATGGGTTTGGTCGGTAGTTTTGGGGAAGAAAACAAATATGTATTAACCCAAGGATTTGACCATGTAACTCATGTAACATTGTTGTGGGGACATGGAGGATTTCATCGCCACTTTGCCCGGAAAGGTGATTGAGGAGAAGGCATCACTACTCTCAGAGGCGGCCACCAGCAAGTTCCCGAGGATTGGTGAGTCGCCAGCCATCCACCATGCGAGCAAGAACTTGGCGATCAAGAAACACACCCGACGCGGGCCCGGAGCCAAGAAACTGGCCAAGATGAAGCGTGCATCGAAAACATCGCTCTTGCAGGAGGGGGATGATGATGGTGGAGATTCGGATTCACTCTTCGAGTTTGAAATCCATGATAATGATGGCAACTATGCCACCAAATTGATCACTCAGTTTCCGGCATTTGCTGAAGAGGAGTTTTTCTTATTTTCCCATTCGTAAATTCACAGGAAAATGGGGAATCTATGGGAATCTAATGGCTCCATTTCTACAGACACCGGCTCCCAGGTTCGCTGGCAAGGAAATCGACACGGCCTCCTGCCTGGCCTTTGCGCCCAAGACACGAAGTGGCTCCAACGGCGCGGTGGCGCAGTCAGATTGGCAGGTGAATGACGAAGATGACTTCATCAAATTGGAGCCATGGGCTGTGCCATGTGACAACAGTTGGATGATGGATAAGGATCATCTGACGAAATGGGTAGCTGGACGGAGCTTTTTTCAAAATTCGCCCAGAGCTTTTTCCAACTCATTTTTCAGCGATTTGGTGAGTTTGCCACAGATAGACCACAGATATAACCGGTTATAGATGGCTTTTTATATTGATGGCCTTTATGGCCTCTCAATCATAGATTCATCCAACTGACTTTTCCGAGGCGGGCTATTCCTTCTACACCTGGGAGATGGCGATTGAGAAGTGCGTCACCGTTTCCTATGCGCTCTCCATGCAGCCTGTCTTGGCCTTCGTGGGCGGCTTGGAGTTCGACATTCTCCCCGCACCGCTGGCGGATATCGATACCATGGTCTGCTGGCCGGACAAGCAACCAGGTGCGGCAGGTTTAGGAGGTTTTTTTGAATGAAGAACTGGACAAAATCGGTGGATTGATTAAGATGCTCGGTGATTTCTGCCCATCATTCCGACGTGTATTCTTGTTGTGGCTGTCACTGTCTAGTATTTATTGCTATTGTTGCTCAATCATTGTTGTCGCCGTCGTCTTCAACGATCATGCTGCTATACTTCTATACTGTGTATTTGCTGAGTAGCTTTTTTCATGATCTCCCTGATTAGAAAAAGAAAACCCATTCTTGGACAAACCCATAATCATATGATTGGTTATTTTGTTGTATACAGTATATATATATATGCAATATATATATATGATTTTATGTTATAGCCCCATTTGCATTGTTCATTGGCTAATTCACTATATTTTTGATGGTAACATCCTTATTTTGCCTGGCTAAGTATATCAAGATACTGTCCTTAAACAAAAAACGATCTATATTGATAATATCCAACAAACACACATATATATATATATTAATATATCATTTGGTTGGTTATAGATCCCATGATTTCCGTCCAAAAATCATGTCCAGATATAGGTTGTTCCGTTGTCCGTCCAGGCGGCGTCGACCTGAGCGTCTTGCGGACCGTCATCAGCTCGGGGGGCGTGATGCTCTACAGTCGCACGCTACGATTGGTGAAACGCTTCGGCGCCTCGGAAGCCGGCCTTCGGAGCCGGTTGGAAAGGTGGTGGCCCACCTTGGGGCCATGGACGGCAGGATGGTAATTTCGAATGGGGATGGGGATGTAGAGATATGGCAAGTTCTGTGGCAGATATGGATTTGAACAAAAATCACATTGATATGGCTATATGGGTAAAATCGGAAGGAATATGTGGCAACTGCTGGATTCAAAAAGGCAAGCCTTTTGTGGGTCCATTGGTGCCCCACGTGTGATTCGGATTCCCATTGATGCTCAACTGATCCTAGCCATCCCTCATCAGAAGAAGCTCTACATTGAGCTTCCCCAAGAATTTGGAGAACATCCCCCCGTGTTTCCTAACGGCCACAAAGTGGATATGAGTAGCTCCATATCACATTGAGTTGATTGCATATCCCTGTTGATGATGGCTAGTGATATTCCCATTTTCTTTGGTTGAATTCTCCTTTCGAGTGATTATATTCCTGCATCCATTTTTTGGGTTTAACAATTTTGATCCATACCAATGTCTGTTTTAAAATGTTTTTTATATGGAAAAAAGGATGAGTATACATATATATATATGTATATATGTATATATATATGTATATATATGTATATATATATAAATATATAAATATGTATGTATGTGTATATATATGTATATATATATATATATGTATATATGTATTTATATGTATATATATGTATATATATGTATACATATATGTATATATATATATATTTAAATATGTATGTATGTATATATATGTATATATATGTATATGTACATACATATATATATACATGTATATATATATATGTATATATATATATACACATTTATTTACATATGTACATATATATATGTATACATATTGCGAGTATACAAACAACATGGGGACATCATATGTTGATGATCTTAGTATCCAACAGAATAGCCATGAAAAATTGATCGGTTCATTACAGGCGAAGCCAACTTGGGCAGAGGTTACTTTGGACTGGGTATAACCATGGTTATCAAGCCCATAAGTTGGGATATAACCCCGAAAAAACGATAGAGACCGACACATCCACGAACATGACTGGAACTGCACTGGAAAAAAAATCGATGCCAAGAATGGGGAATGTTTCTGGTTTCTTGGGAAATTGATACCATCAGTGGTTGGATTCGGGTGGATGTCACCCACTGGGTCCAAGGAGACAACACGGACTTTACGGACAACAACATCTATTCAGCCTACGAAACGTACCGCAACCCGGCAGGACGGCCGCTCCGAGCTAGCAGTTTTGGCTAAAGAAAGATGGTTTGTTGCGACAGGTGAAAAAAAACAGGCGAGGTTTCGCTCACAAAGTAAATCTCATTTAGGGTACCCTCTGGTAAACTAACATAACTATGGAAAATCACCATTTTTAATGGGAAAATCCACTATAAATGGCCATTTTCAATAGCTATGTCAGCTATTACCAGAGGGTAGCAGATTTTGTTTCGCCAACTTTTTTCAATATCGTCAACCAGGGGTTAAGAGCGCCACAGGAGTGGCGGTTGGAAGTCATAGTGTGGAAGATGACCGTACTTTGGAGGCGTGGTGGAGTGGTGGTCAGAGCCGCAACCGAATGGGATTTCTCCAGTCACTGGGTGCTATACCCCAAAGGTGAACGTTTACATTTTGCCATGGAAAGATCCACCATTTTTCATGGGAAAATGACCACTATTTCGACTGGGCCATTTTCGCTATGTTAGTTCACCAGAGGGTACCCCAAAATTAGCCTTTTCACCTGGTTTCTGGGCCTTTTCAAAAAGCCGGTGTATGATGATTTTAGGGACCTGGACCCATAACATGTCAAATTTGAAAGGCTTCCCTGGGCGACCTGGAATCCCAGTATTTCATGGTAGAAACCAGCGATTCCAATGCTCGGAGAGTTTGCAAGGTTTAACATCCGAAAGTTGCCCGCATTTAGAATTGAGGAATAGCAGTCCTATTTCAAATGGGATTCCCCCTATCACTTCCTTTTCCAGTCATTTGACGACAGACTGTCAAAACTTGACCCCAAAACGGGATGCTTGGTATGTCATACCAAAAGTGAGCGGCCCATCTATGCATGCTGATATTGTTTTTGTGAAAAAAAGGCTTCCGCCTTACCCTCGAATGAAACTTAGCATGGGAATCGAATTAAACTTAGCATGGGAAAATCTTCATTGGGGTGATGACGTCCCTCTCACGCATGCTGATTTTAAAGTTGGCTTTCGCTCAAAGCCCTGAATTGTTGCGTTGGTTCTGGGTGGTTATGTTTACCTCACCACCCATCTCACGGCCACTAGGGGTAATCTAAGCTGGAAATTTCTCATCAAAATCTTCAATGATGGTTTTTTTGGCATGTTGAGACCTCATGTCATGTTTTTTATTTTGACTTAAATTTATCAAGAAACCATGACGCGAATCCTGATTTTCCAGCCGGGGGTGAAGAAAACGACCCACTTCTCAAGGCTGGTTTTAGTGGATGTTCCAGCCGGCCGTCAAGGCCATGGACCGCACCGCTTCGCTGCTGCAAAATCGCAGCCAGACGCCTCCTGAGTTGGTCTGGAGGGATCAGGACCTGGCTAAGAAGTCGGGATGTGGGCTGGGAAACATGATGTATTTAAAAGATATGAGCACATAGTCTAAAAGTTTTTTTTTCAGATTTTAATATCTAAATTGGGTATACCCCATATTAATCCAAATTAGATTATTGCCATCTTTTTGTTCATCTTTTTATTTTTTGAGAGAACACATACATCCAGTGAAGTGAATTATGTACTATGAAACAAATGGTATCTCTGTTTTTTTTCTTTGGGGAAAACCTCCACGTGCAGTGAAATTCAGATTAATAACATATAATAACATACTATCTTCCCAATTTAGACGGCAATCATGTGGGCATACCCAATTTTTGCGCGCACACACACATCGAACTGAGCACCATTTTTGAGCACAAAACATAGAGCATTGGTTCCAGCAACAGGTACCATCAGGTGACTTATATTCAAGCAAATTTAACCACTCAGCATTGCTCCAGGAGCTGTATTTGGCCACCATGGAATACGGCAAGCATCTGGAGCAAACCATCCTCTCTGAGCATCGCGACCACGCTGCGGCCCATCGCTTAGGATTGCTTCAGACGGACGCGACAAGCAGCGCGAAGAGCGGCGCGGATGAAGTGCAACTCTTCCGCTTCCGCAATCCTGGCCTGGTGAGTTTTGAGATCAAGGGTGAGATGGTGGGCAACCAGTTGGATATGGTGACTTGGCAGATAAAATTTTTAAAATGGATGGTGGCGTTGGATAGGGTGAAGTGAAATTTACAATGGGGGTGCAGGGTATTTAAGAATTATCGCATGATTGTGAATGAACACATTTAGTGGGTCGATTTGCCCTGGGAAAATCTGTGGCATTCATTGGTGTCATTAGTTCTGGGCCACCGAATTGTGACCCACACCTCAGAATGAAATGGATGGAGTTGAGGGACAACTGGGACAACCTTGCACTTCAATTTGGGTGTCACGGAAGGGAACTTTCAACTTTCGGATCAAGATAGTGGCTTTGTAAGTCGGGATGCAAAAACTCAGCTGGCCAATCATCAACTGGCGGCGATCAGATCGGAAGAGAGTCTACTTGCCTGGGTTTGCCTGGAGATGGGGCTCGAAACTAACAATTTTTTAATGTGGACAATTATGATCAACCAGGGGATTGCAGGGTGTTTCGCATCATTTTTCATGATTTTTGTGTCACTATGCTCCCCATGTTCTTTTCCAAAAATCCCAGAAAGTTTCTTGTGCTCTGGAGGGAAACTATATATTTGTGGAAAAACCATAACTTTCCCGAAGACTTTGCCTTTATTCTACTGGTAAAACCCCCAATGTCTATCCATTTTCTATGCTTAAGTCAACCTTTTTACATGGCTGTCTTGAGCTTCCACCAAATTATTTGTGTCAATTACATCCACCAATTTTATGGCTAAACCAACCCCTCTTTGCTGAAAAGACCGGCCATGAAACATGGCAATCTTCCGGTTCCATGAGCCATGCCCAGTGGGATTTCCGTGAAGAGGTGATGCAGGTGAGCTTCGGGGGCTTCAATTCACCCGAGAAGCGCATCAAGTGGCGTGGAGGGAAACACCGAAACACCGCCGTTGGGTGATGATTGGACTGATTGGACCTGCCCTGGTGATCCACGAATTGGGAAAATTTGTTCATCATTTTCGGTGCATGGGGCCTCTCAAATTTCATGATGAATCATCTGTTTTCCCTACTGAAATGGCCATAAACCACTAGGGACAATGACCTGAGAAAAGCAGCTGTTTAATATGTTTAATGGGATAAAGGGCGACATCTGGGACAACTGGTGATGATCACAGATTTTCACAGATTTTCCGATGGTTTTTGCAGTACTTCACAGCCATTTTGCACCATGGTTTTCACCTGCGCAGATTGGTGGATCTGGTGGATCAGTTCGCGGTGGTGCTGACTGCCATGCCCTTCGTCTCCGTGGGAACCAAGGCGAAAGCGATCGCTGCGTTGAAGGGCTTCAACGAGGACGATGTGAAGAAGGCCAGGGGGTCGCCACGATTAATGTGCCACGATTTCTGGAGGATTGATGAAGATATTGATGAAGATTGGAGGATTGAATAGATGTGTACTGAATCAGTACTGATGTGTATACAAACATATCAAATTCTTCTATTTATTTTTCCTATCATCTTAATACCAAAAGTCTCGGGAATCGGGAGATTTTTCGCATCGTGGGCATGGCAAGAATGAGGAAATCATTCAGCACCCAGCAATGTTTCCATTTTATGGGCCGTGGGTCTCAAGCATTTTTTTCATCCGAAAATGGGATGGTGATTCGACATAGACAAATGATCAGGATGCCTCTGGTACTTTAAGAGTTCCAGCTATGGAACATCAACATATCATATCTTTTAAGTAAATCATCAAGCTAAATGATCTAGCCATGGGTTTTGGTTTCCATAGCCATGGCAGAGGGATTTTTTGATACTATACTCCCATCAAAATTTTCGCCCAAAAAAACGATACAATCCTTATGGAAGCTCCATTGCATTCCATGATGATTCCGTTCAATCCCATGGATCGTTCGCCATGTTGGTGGTCCTGAAGGTCGTACCAAAGGCTTGGGACCTGGCGAGTACGGAGTACGAAGCCGATTGGAGTTACAGCTTCGATCACGAAGGCTGGAGCTTTTCCCCACCCAACACGGCCATCACCGGCTTCCGGCGCAGTCATGAGAACAACTTGTACAACTTGGAGGCGAGATTTTTGGGAAAGTTGGGTGATTTTTTTACAATCTATTTTGTGTTGATGGCTATATAATTATTTTTTTTTCCCAATGGGAAGCCGATTATTGGCGAGATTTGAAGCAGATAGGGTACCTACAAAATCTACAAATCCAAAGGATTATTTCACCTTTTGGACTTGGTCATAAATGTAGGCACAAAATGTAGGCACAGTTGGAATTTTGGTGATTCCTTTTGGATGGGGATGGATTACTGCCAATGTTTGCCCCGAAAACTTGGTGATGGGGTTGTCTCAAAGTGGCTGAAGCCGATGGTATACGATGGTGAAAAACGGTCGTCAAATAGGGGGATTCACACTTTGAGACGAACCTATTTAGCCAAAAGGCAAGTGGCCACACTTGGGGTTCTTATGGTAGGTTGATCAAGGATTCGCACACTCATGTCCGGCTAATTTGGTGAGTGCTACAGCACATGCCTTCGTGCCGCGTCCCTTTCTGGCGCCATGTTTTTTTCTTTTTTGTGGCTGCTGCAGGTCATTTGGATTGAGGTTCCTTTTGAATTGACCATGTTGAGATTATTTTCAGTGGCAACTGCGAGACTTCTGATGCCTCAGCTTCATTTTTTTCGTGGCAGGCGCAAGAGTTTTTTTGCACAAGATGCTGAGAATCGTAAAGCGTATGACATCCGAGTTTGTTTTGGACGTCGATTTCTCGAGTGTGTGTCTGTGTGTGTGTGTTGGATCTCTCTCGTCGTGGTACCTAGCAGTCTTTAGGTATCAGAGATCTTCGTCAAAAGATCCTCTGGATTCTCTAGAAGATCCTTCTACGATCATGTGAGATTCTCTTAGCGGTCCTTGTGTGAAGATCTTGGCCAAGATCTTGTAGAGATCCTGGTGACAGCCTATCAGGGGTCCTTCCCTTCCATGAATATCTTGAGAAAATGTACTCTTAGAGGTGCTTGGCAAGCTTTTGTGGATCTCCTAGGAGGAGGAGGCGGTTCTTGTTTCAAGATTGTCCTTGTATGACGACCTTGTGAGATTCTCTTAGAGGCCCTGGTATGAAGATCTTGTAGACATTCGTTTGTGTCATGAGTTTTTCTCAGCAATCTTCTCCTTGACACCTGTTTGTTTTGCCGGGATAACTTTTTGATGGTGACCAACCTGATGATAGCGAATTCTGAGAGCAACCATGCCGACTGGTGAAAAGGAGGGAAACATAGCAAAGATTTTCGTGTTTTCTTGATGGGGGAAAAGAAGAATAAGAATACCCTGCTTCTTTTTTTTTGCTGGGGATGTAGGAATAACCAGGGTTTGAGTTGAAACATCACCAAGAACAGATAGAAATCCGGAATGATGTGCCTGGTTACAATGTAGAGTGACTTGAAATGATTGATTCAGTAACCCTGAAACGTGGTTAGATCTTGGGAAAGCCTGGATTTGATAGCATTGAGCCACATTTGGGTGTTCAAACAGCACCTCAAACGGGTCTAAAGATCGGCCATCTGGCACTGAGGCCGCCAAATATCGCAGCACTCAGTTTGATGAAGAGGAGTGCGAGTATGTGAATTTGAGTCCAGCCTTGGACAATGCAAATTCCTGGGGCCTGTGTCCAGATGGCTACTTCTTCCATGGCTTGAATCCTGGCGACATGATGTGACTGGTTTGGATGGGGAGCATCCTTTAACAACGCGGGGAAAAAAGGCGTAAGGGATTCGTTCTCTTTGGTATTGCGATGGTTTGCAATCCTTTGAGACTTATTTCTTTAAAATTCTATAACTATTTTGTATCACTATAACTACTTATTGCTGTTGTTATATGTTGTTATGATAAGCGTTCAGTATCATTACACTTGTTTATGCTGTTTTCCCGAAGCCCGGCTTCTTCAATTCCTCTCACAGGAACCGCGGGCCCTGGGAATGCAAACACATCGGCTGCATCGAATGGGGCAAATGCTGCCGCCCCAAAGGGGCAGGTCGTTGGGGTCAGTGTCAGATTGCAGATTGGAGCACCAGCTTCGACGACACAGGTGCCTGGGCACGGAGGAGAACCGTGCGAATTGTGCAAATGGTGGGGGAAATCCAGCCAATGATTCCAATGATCAATAGGATCAGCACTTCCCAAGTGGGATGATCCTGTTTTCCCGCAGATTGTGGAACTTTCTGCAACAACTGTCTTGCATGGCCACAACAGTATAGATGCAATCTTCTAATGGAGAGGGTTTGTTTCTCCACCAAAGCACGATTGTTTACTACAGTTGAGTCTTCATCGAAAATCAAAGCATGAACATAAACAAAGTCCACACAATTTCTCTCTTGTCCCTTCAACCTCTGGTATCCCAGCCTTCTAACACCGCAACGGATTTCCCAGATTCATCATCTGCCGCACGTCCACGTCGAACGTTCAGGTTCATCAACCTGCCCCTTTCCATATGGCTTGGTCGGGCTGTACCGGAGTGGCACGTCCGGCATCCAGGGGATTGAGCTTGCCTATTGCTGTGAACTCGGAGTTGCTTGGTAAAGCAAAATTCATCAACTTTTGAAACCAGGATACGACAGTGGTTTCACATTATATATGTACAAATTATATGTCTCTATAATCATATCATATGTAAATATACATGTATCGATTGTATCGTATGTATCAGATGTATGCAATATTGTATGCAATGTTGGATTAAAACGCCGACTGACCCAAGCCGCTGCCGTGCGGAAGCCGTGGCGCGGCAAAAGACAGAGGCAGCGGCGAGGCAGGATCCAACCAAAGCAGCGTGCCGTGAAGTTGCGCAAGGCGAAGGCGGCGATAGGCGATAGGCGACACAGATGCCCAAGCCAAGGTGGAGGCCGGCCCACCACAGTCAAAATGATCAGCGGCATGCCACTTAAGTACCTGCGTGCACTGAGGAGACGCGGCGCAGAAACCGGTTTGCCAGCAACAGTGCCGCAAGGTCACATCGTCCGAGCCCGGGGCGCTGCGGAGTTGATTTGGACACCCAATCTGCCGTTCGAATGTAAGCACCTGCGGTTTCCGGTATTTTGCAGCTTGAAATGGTCATCCACCCTGTCCAGGAGACGCTTTGAATCATACACATTGTATGTACATATAATGATGGTGATCCATTTACAGGTCCCTGTAAAGAGTTTTAATTGCGAAGACCCTTCATGTTATGTCGCGAAAGTTTTTTATTCGAGTTCGCGAAAGTAACATTTTTTTCGCGAAAGTTGGATTTAAAGGGCTGCCACCCGCCCACTGCCGCCTGGGGTCCGGCAGGAGCAGGGCACTGGTGCACTTCATAAGTAGCAGCCGAGCTTCCAAAGGTGAGGCCTCGCGACAGCCAAGCACCATGGTCCTGAAGCACATCCTTGCACCTGCTGCTGTCATTGCCTAATGATGATTTTTGAAGTCTCAAGAAATAAGCTCCACATGCAGCAGCCAAGTTTCCAAAAGTGAGGCTTTGCGAGAAAAAAAGACAAAGGCCCCTGGTGTTCGCTTTTCCTTCAATGCGCACCCTGCTGATGGCCGGGGTCTGTGTGAATAGGGATATCCGCGAAAGTTCCGCGAAAGTCTTGCGAAGGAGTGGGCAAAAGTCAAAGTGCATGTTGAAGGGGGTGGGTCAGTAAACCTTGCCAAAAAATAGTCAGCAACAATCAGTCCTGAGAAGGGATTCCGTGATGCTAGCTGCATGTTAAAAAAGGGCTATCAAGAAGTGATCCGTGATTCCCTGGCGTAATTTGCCAGGTGGTGAACGAATCTTCATAAGAGGCGTTGTTGCCCAACATGGCCCAGTGAAAGATAAACGTGGAGTTCGCGAAAGTTTCGCGAAAGTAACATTTTTTTCGCGAAGAATGGTCGTTTTAGGAAAAAAGATTTTTGACCAACCATCAAATATATATATATATGGCAGTCGATCTAAAGGTCCTTAGAAGGAGTTTTAATTGCGAAAGCCGTGCGTATTATGTTGGAAACCCCCGCGTTTTTTTTTGCGAGTTCGCGCAAGAATTTTTCCCGAGAGCGTCTGAGCGCAGGGTTCTTCCAATAGTGGGGGTCTGTAAAACATCTTCTCGTATTCGCATCTTCCCGTCTTCACATCCTCTCATCTTCACATCTTCACATCTTCACATCTTCACATCCTCTCATCTTCACATCCTCTCATCTTCACATCCTCACATCTCCACATCCTCTCATCTACACATCTTCACATCCGCTCATCTTCACATCCTCTCGTCTTCACATCTTCACATCTTCACATCCTCTCATCTTCACATCCTCACATCTTCACAGCTGCTCATCTTCACATCCTCACATCTTCACATTTGCTCATTCTTCACATCCTCACATCTTCACATCTTCTCCTCTTCACATCTTCTCATCCTCACATCTTCTCCTCATCTTCTCATCTTAACACCTTCTCATCTTCACATCTTCTCATCTTCACATCCTCTCATCTTCACATCCTCACATCTTCACAGCTGCTCATCTTCACATCCTCACATCTTCTCCTCTTCACATCCTCTCATCTTCACATCCTCTCATCTTCACATCCTAACATCTTCACATCCTCTCATCTTCACATCCTCACACCTTCACAGCTGCTCATCTTCACATCCTCACATCTTCTCACATCCTCTCATCTTCACATCCTCACACCTTCACAGCTGCTCATCTTCACATCTTCACATCTTCTCATCCTCTCATCTTCACATCTTCTCATCTTCACATCTGCTCATTGTTCACATCCTCACATCTTCACATCTTCTCCTCTTGCCCTCTTGCCCTCTTGCCCTCTCCTTCTTTTCCATTTCTCTCTTGAAGGCGCGGGGCCGTGCCAACGAGACGGCACGAAATGCAACCCTTTCGCACGAAATGAGGTTCGATCGCCAAAACTGAGTTAAAGTTGCAATTTGCAAGTCGTCCGGCGCAACCCTTTCGCACGAAATGAGGTTCGATCGCCAAAAACTGAGGTAAAATTGCGATTTGCAAATCGTCCGGCGCAACCCTTTCGCACGAAATGAGGTTCGATCGCCAAAAACTTAAGTAACATTGCGATTTCAATTTGTCCTGTGCAATCGTTTCGGACGAAGTGAGGTTCAATCGCCAAAAACTGTGGTAAAATTGCGGTTTCTTCTGTGTGTAAACGTGTCTGTGTAAAAGCTTCTGTGTGCTGTGTGTAAAAGCTTCTGTGTGTAAAAGCATGTGTGTGTAAAAGCCTCTGTGGTGTAAAGTGTAAAAGCGTCTGTGTGTAAAAGCGTTTGTGTGTAAAAGTCTCTGTGTGTAAAAGTGTGTAAATGCTTATGTGACTTATGTGTGTAAAAGCGTCTGTGTAAAAGCGTCTGTGTAAAAGCATCTGTATGTAAAAGCTTCTGTGTGTAAAAGCTTCTGTGTGTAAAAGCCTCTGTGTGTGTAAAGCCGTCTGTGTGTAAAAGTGTCTGTGGTGTAAAAGTGTCTGCGTGTACAAGCGTCTGCGTGTAAAAGCGTCTGTGTGTGAAAAGCTTCTGTGTGTAAAAGCGTCTGTGTGTAAAACTGTCTGTGTGTAAAAGCGCCTGTGTGTAAAAGTGTCTGTGTGCAAAAGTGCCTGTGTGTAAAAGCGTCTGTGTGTAAAAGCGTCTGTGTAAAAGCTACTGTGTGTAAAAGCGTCTGTATGTAAAAGTGTTTGCGTGTAAAAGTGTCTGCGTGTAAAGCGTCTGCGTGTAAAGCGTCTGTGTGTAAAGGAGTCTGTGTGTAAAAGCCTATGTGTGTCAAAGCGTCTGTGTGTAAAAGCTTCCGCGTGCGAAAATGTCTGTGCGCAAAAGCTTCCGTATGTAGAAGTGTCTGTGTCTAAAAGCATCTGTGTGTAAAAGCGTCTCTCTGTAAAAAGTTCTGTGTGTGTAAAGCTATTTGACAGATACGATGCAAACTATTGTCTTGTACTTGCGCTATATTGTCTTGATACTCCTCTTCTCGTCTGCCTACAACACATTTTTACTATATTGTTTTGTAATATGGTGTCTCCATACTAACAAGAGAAGACCCTGCTCCTCTACACTCTCGAGCCATCCGTCGTCTAGTTATTCGCGACAGTTTCGCGAAAGTTGGATACTATGAATCATTATCATTGTATACATTGCAGCTTGTTAAGGGCTACCACCTCCTGCCGCCCGGGGATCCGGCAGGAGAATGGCACCGCACATTGACCTTCCCCTTCATAGGTAGGAGCCAAACTTCCGAAGGTGAGCCTTTCCAAATACCTCCACATGCAGCAGCCCCTGATACGCCCCTAGCTGCACATTTACAAGGTGATAATTTGGTGTGAATGAATCTTCATAAGAAGAGCTGTTGCTCAACATGGGTTCGGCGTAAGAGAAACATGGAGTTCGCGAAAGATCCGCGAAAGAAAGTATTTATTCGCGAAGAATGGCCGTTTGCAGATAAAGGAATTTAGATCAACCGCCATATATATATTATATATATAATTAGATACATTTTTTTTTGAAATAGCATTGTATATTGTACTATACACAACATACATACAAGCAGGCATTTCTTCCCAACGGTGGGATGATGATCCTGCTCACAATTTCTGATGGATTCTTGGACTCTTATTGTTCGACAAATGCCACTGACTCAGTGGGTTCTACCTCAGCCGCCCAGCTTTGGCGGTACATGTTTCGGTTTCTTTTGAGCTGCGATCTTGATATCTGTAGGGGTGGCTCAAAAAGAGTCAGCGCTGTTCATGTAGTTGCTCATATTCAAAACATATGTGCTTGAGAAATCTTTAGGATCGATCTCCTCGGTTTTTCTTAGGTTCCTACGAACACCGAAACCAACTACTACCTCTCGGCGACGGAATATGCGGCTGACTGGTCAAGTAGCTTTGATAGCGCCGGCTGGTCCTCGGCGGATGGTTTTATCACAGGCTTTCATCGTAACAGTGGAACGGAGCTCTACTACTTGGAGACGGCTTTCTATCGCAAACCCCACGAAGCTGGGACGCACTTGGAATGATGGAAAGATCATGAAACGGTTGGATATGTGATGAAATGTGTGTGTATATAAATATGGCCGACCACATACATACATACATGCATGCATGCATGCATGCATACATGCATACATACATACATACATCCATCCATCCATCCATCCATCCATACATACATACATACATACATACACACATACATACATACATACATACATACATACATACATACATACATACATACATACATACATACATACATACATACATACATACATACATACATACATACATACATATACATACATACATACATACATACATACATACATACATACATACATACATACATACATACATACACACACACATACACACATACACACATACACACACATACACACATGCATACATCCATCCATCCATCCATCCATCCATCCATCCATCCATACATACATACATACATACATACACACATACATACATACATACATACATACATACATACATACATATATACATACACACATACATACATACATACATACACACACATGCATGCATGCATGCATGCGTATATACACCCATCCATCCATGCATACTTACATACATGCATGCATGCATGCATGTATACATAGATACAGAGGCGGATTGTTGTTAAAGGCGGAACAAACACTTGGTGGGTGGAAGGGCTTTCTGCGATACCGTGGGGGCTTTGGATCTAGCTGCGATGATTTGGAGGATCCAACTCTGGGAATCTAAGCCGGCTATGGGCCATGGGGAACACTGAATTTTTATCGGAGAATCATCGATAGGGTTTCTCCAAGTTAGAGTACTTGTAGCATATCCTGCCCAGAGCAGATATAGTGTTGAGTGCCACCCCCAAATACACAACCAATACGACTACTCTTTTCCACCATACACAAATACACAATACAATCTACATTTTTCCACCTCCAAGACTATGGGCTTGGGATGCCCCATCAAAATGGCGGTTTTACGATTTTTTTTTGATCCGTGAGAGGTAGGTCTGAAAGGCTACCAGACATGTGGTTTCATGGTCATCTGATGAAAGCCGCCCCGAACGTAACCCTCTGCCATGGCAATCTGATTGAATATTGGTGGGCAAATCTACAGGTATTACCATGGTTTGTCCTGGGGTTTTCACCCGTGGTCCGTGGTCCCTTCGGTCAGGAAGGCTGGACCTGCAAGCATGGTGACTGGAGTGCCTCTTTGGATCATGCTGGGTGGAGTCTGTGCCCAGAGGGGTACTATATCAAGGCCGGGTGCTTTGAGGTACGTTTAACAGCGGCATTTCGCCGGCCCCCAGCCTACATGCCCAAAGCAGAGGTTGGTTTGTGTAAAAGGTGGTTTGTCTAAAAGTTGGATGGGTAGAAGCTTGTGTGTGGAGAAGCTCGTTTGTGTGTGAGAGCTGGTTGGTGTAGAAGGTGGTTTGTGGAAAAGCGAGTTTGTGTAAAAGCGGGTCTGTGTAAAAGCTGGTTGGTGTAAAAGTAGGTTTCTTCAGAAAATGCTTGGTGTAAAAGAGTGTTTGTGTAAGAGTTTGTTGGTGTAAAAGTTGGTTTGTGTAGAAGCGGGTGTGTGTGTGTGTAAGACTTTGGAAATTGAATAGAAAGGCGTCAAATGGGTAGATGCAAGCGGCATGGCTGTGAGAGTGCGTGCGGAGAAGTCCGTGAGTGCAGAGGAAGAGCAGGAAGGGAAGGGAAGGGAAGGGAAGGGAAGGGAAGAGAAGAGGAGAGGAGAGGAGAGGGAGAGGGAGAGGGAGAGGGAGAGAAAGACGAAGAGGAAGCGGAAGCGGAAGCAGAGGAAGAGGAAGAGGAAGAAGAGGAAGAAGAGGAAGAAGAGGAAGAAGAGGAAGAAGAGGAAGAAGAGGAAGAAGAGGAAGAAGAGGAAGAAGAGGAAGAGGAAGAGGAAGAAGAGGAAGAGGAAGAGGAAGAAGAAGAAGAGGAGGAGGAAGAAGAAGAAGAGGAGGAGGAAGAAGAAGAGGAGGAGGAAGAAGAAGAGGAGGAGGAAGAAGATGAGGAATAAGAAGAAGAACATGAAAAAAATAAAATTTAAGAAGAAGAAGAAGAAGAAAAAGGAAATGATGAAAATGACCACCGAGAGGAGGATGATGTAAATAAGGTCAGTGCTAGTTCGTTGAAGAGAAGAGAAGAGAGTAGACAGACGAGACTAGACGATTCTGGACTATACTAGACTATAGATGACTATAGTGTATATGTGGAGGGGTGGGGGTGGGCAGCGAAGACAAACATCCGTCGAAAAAACAGTCTATAGGTGAAGGTAAAACTATCATAAGATGTATCACAAGAACATTTGCAAAACACTCGTGCAGGCTGGCGGAATCATAAGACAACAGTGGGATTTGACCAGCTCTTTATCCCACGGAATGCCAATTCTATATGATGTGTATTGTTGGTTTTGCCCAAACAAATCATGGGGATATGATTCATACTAATTACCAACCTGGAACCCCTGATTCAATATTGGATCCGTTCATGAACTCGGGGCAAACATGGGGGTATTTATATATTATTGTTGATATTCTCAGGCCCTGGAGCGCAGCAACAACTATAACCTGCACAACGTGGAGAAAGCCGACTGTTGCAAACCCAACAGTGCACCCGAGAAGTGGGGACCCTGCTACGAGGAGCGCGTCCTATCCGTTGGTGAATGGAAGGAGCTAAGGAGCTATGGCTATCCCATGGTATCCCTACTGAATGGGGAGCCACGGAGCTATGAATTGAGTTGAACATATTTTTGGTCTGTCCCTTTTTTATGGGATACAAAAAAGGATCCACTCGTTTTTCAGACACATTTCTCCTATCAACATTGGCGCCCCCATTTTGATAAAGGTCCACCCAAAAAAATCCGAGAGCGGCAGGAAGATTGGAGCTACAGCTTTGACCAGCAACACAGCTTCTTGCTTCCGAAACGTGAGAAAGCAGGATGGGATGGATGGTACCCTCTGGTAAACTAACATAGCTATTGAAAATGGCCATTTATAGTGGATTTTCCCATTAAAAATTGTGATTTTCAATTGCTATGTTAGTTCACCAGAGGGTAATTACAAAACATATTTCCAGGTTTCCAATTTTTCTGCATTGTTTGTTGAAGTCGCTATATGATATATAAATATCATGGAATTTATGGGATGCTATTTATATATCAAAAATATCATATATCCAAATATAGTTCATTATTGGCATTTTTATTATGGTGATTTAATGGAATTTGAATTTCGATATCATGTCCCATCCTAATGGGATGAATGGGGACAATACAGGTTGAAATGGGTCATGATTGCCTGCGGGTGCAGTTGGGGGTACTTATGTCCACTATGGAATTTCACCGAGAAACATGGGAGTTTTTGATGGCGATATAGTGGGATTTATGATGAGCTTTTAAATGGCCCCCTGGAAAATGAACAGACCCTGAAGATCACCAATTTTTCATGGAAACTAGGCTTCCAACCCCGATGACTGCCAGGGTCGAACTGTTAATTTACCAGAGGGTAATTTTCACTAACTTCATATGATTTGGGGTTGGGGTCAGAGGTTTTTGGCCATGATGATCACCTCGATGCATTCGGACACAACTTGATACAACCCCTGTAGCAAATTGCTAGATATCACGGATATCTCGGTGTATAACTAGGATTAGAAAACAATGATTTTTTTGAGGTATATTGATGGGGATATTTCATGTCCCATCGTAATCAGGTCAATCAGGTCACACTGCTGTTTGCATTGTTGCTTAATCCTGTGCCCCTAATGATAAATACCATTGTTGAAACCCTGGTTTAGTACTGGATCCATAGATTTTTGGGGCCCATGTGGGGGAGTACGTAATTTTGGGGGATGTGATCATTGTGGTTTGAACCATCATGTCATGTGCGTTGGTTGATGACTGCGGCTTTTTATGGATAATAGGGGTGTAATAATGGGATATATATATATATATACACCCAACAATAGACGTGATTTAATGGGATTTAGCCTGATTTAGCCATCAAGAATACGGGTCTATGATTGATAAATGACGTTTTTTTTTTGGCCAGGTGTTCTTAATCTATTCTTGATGTACTGGGGATGATCAAAATTCCACGATGGGAATCCCCATTTACCAACCATCATAAGGGATTTTCCAACAGATTTTGACACTGCTCACAGTCCAAACATGGGGATGCAACACCTTATGGATATTTTCAGCGGGAACAAGAGGATCAAGCGGAACGCAGGGATGTTTTTGATCCAACCTGCTGTAAAAAGTGAGACAAAGTTCTATGGCTTGCCAAAGTCATAAGAACATCTATGGGTTTCCCTGGGAAAATGATCTACAAATGGTGGATTTCCTTACTTGTGTAAACTGATTATTTGTGAAATCCCCAATTTTGTTGATTCAAGGAAGTTCAATATGACAACTTTTTGGACCGAATCCATGGTTTTCTTAGCATTTTCGATGTTACAAGAGGTGACATGATGAGGGCAATCGACTATCATATTCGTGGGATGGGCATATCGTGCAAGGAATCTCACTTTTTTCTCCATGCTGTTTGACAATACCATCTGGTAATTTAGCCCGGCTATGAAAAAACACCATTTCCGTGAGGTAAATCATCTGTAAATGGGCCATCTATACCGTAGCGAACTGTTAAATGACCAGAACCTTTGCTACGATCACAGTGACCCTGGTGATGGGGACACCAAACCATCAGTTTTTGATGGTTTTGAGATTGCAGATGAATCAGATATGGGTAATGTACAGTAATGTGGTAGAGCAGTGGTAATCCTCCAATTTTCTGATCCAAACAATGATCAACCCGTGGGTGTTGACCCCATGGTTCCCGGTGGTTCCCAGGTGATTCCAAGTGCAAGTTACCCAACACGGCTTTGGTTGGCCTGGAACGTGATGAGACGGACAACCTGAGCGGCATCAAGAAAGGGAAGTGTTGCCAGTTGCCTCCGGCCACGATGGGCACCCAGGACTTTTCCGTCCGCTAGGCCCGCCAGGCCCAGCAGGCCGCGGATGTCGCCGTTGTGTCGGCGAGAAGCCGCCGTTGTGTCAGCTGTGCTCGTGGTAGTTTCTGCACATGGCCCACACGGTTGTAATGTTTGCTTTATGGGTTCGTGGAAATGGTGAGGTTTCGGGTACTTGGCAAACCTGGCAAGGGGAAGTCTTCTATAACGATGGAGTTTTTTCAACCGAAGACCTTTTGCAAAATGGTATGTTTCCATTGCCAGGTTCGACCAGAGGGTAATCCACAGGGAAACCAATGATGATTCACGGGTTGATCTCACCATCCACCGGTGGCCCATCGAAGTGTGGGACTTTGCCGATTCTAAGCCACGAGCAGACGTGTATCATAGAGGTGACGTGGGAAAGAGCTGGGTTTGGAATTTATAGGGACCCCCAATGATGGTAACCCTCCCCTACTATTCCCATAAGAAACCCCAGTAGTATGGGATGCGGATGGGAATGCGGATTCCATCATTGGGTTCTCTACAAGTTTCCATGGATGGGTGAACTCAGGCTGTTTAGAACTTGCGCCACTCAGACCAAGCTGTGCTACATGGATGTGGCGATCACACATGGGGTACTAATGAACCTGCACAATTACTGGTTTTTAGTGCGCGACCATCCTTTTTTGTGGGTCAAACATTTGAACAGTTTAGAGCTTCAAATGCCAGGCCTTATCTGGTCCCAACCTTGGTTGCATAAGTCAATGTCTTATTTTGATATTTCTTTCCCATAAGCAGGGATGCACAACGCTGTATTTTAGCTAGCACAAACTCGAGCTTTTTTGCAGCGCAAAAACGATTGACCATGTTCTCCGCTGGTTGCAATGAGAACTCGCCGCAGCAAATTTCAGGCCTTTCATGCAGCGATTGCGAAGCAGTCTCGACTGCGAAGCAGTCTAGAGTCTAGACTGCTTCGTTGGTCGATCTTCGAATCTTTCCATCTTTGGTTGACATTCATATAATCATATAGTTGAACCACACCACTTTTGATTGGACAAAAGAATCAGGAGTTTATGAATCTGAGGTTGACAAGTTCGACATGAAAACAAGTGTTGGACACAGGTTTCTGGTCCGAATCATGAGGAGGTATCAGCAACATCATGACGCAACAAGGCGGGACATCAGGACAAAATCAGCATGAACTCCGAGATGTTCTATGATTCCAAAATCATCCAAAATCCCCCATTCCCAAAAGAGCCCATGGGAATCACTTTGCCGGGTTGCTGAATTCGTTGTTTCAACAATTTGGCGCACCCGCTTGGCGCAGCGTTTTAACGACCGCATGGTGAAGCCACTGTGCTAATGAGGCCGGCCATGGGCTCGAATCTGAACCACCTGGGAAAATCCTCGCACTTTTGGAGGGTTGGTTGAATCCTCAAGTAGTCTATGTCGCCCCAGTAGCTAGCCCGTACAAGCGCATTGAAGTAGGGCCCATCACTGTAGAATTTTTCACAAGCTATCCATAGCCATATGTAGCACCAATGCAGCCGCAAACTGGTTAGAAATACACCCCTAACTTTTGTGTGTGCCTCAACTAGAAATTTGCACATTTTTACCAATCATGGCCCCCTAGTGCTGTACCTGGAGACCCTAATCTGGATCAACTGAAATCGGCAAACTTCCAGAAGCACAGATTCAGGGTGTTTGCTAGTTTGAACCCATCATCACCAGAATTTGAAGGCAAACATTGCTGTGCCCCCCTCAGATTCTCATGGCAAAACGCCAAAGGGGGCTGCGAACATTCGTAACGAACATTCTAAAGTCAAGCTGTAATGAGATCTTAAAATTTCATGAATTTTCTGCAGTTTTGCTCATTGAACTCGTTGAAATACCAATTGCAGAAAATCGCGAGTAATGGATTTGTCCAACCCCAAAATTGAAATAAGTAACCATCTAATTAAGGGCGCGCTGCTGCGGACGGGCTCGATATGAGCTGCATATCGCTTCTGAAAAAGAATCCCCAAGATATCCCCATGTTTGTCGGTTAACTCCCACATTTCAGGGCTAAACACCATGGCTTCAGAATCCCGAAGCGTTGCACCGTTGCACCATGGCTTCAAGCGCTGTGGCTGCCATTGCTGCTAGGAAGTGCAGGAAGTGAGGCGGAACTTCCTGGGTGGGGGAGGATTCACTGCACTGGTCCTGTTTTTTTGAAACTAGCGTACGAGGTGTTGTGAAGGTTTGTGAAATTAGGATTTCAACAGCAAAAACATAGTGATTTGATGCTGTTTAATGGGATTGGATGGAATTAAGTTAGCTAACTTGGCCAAAATCACTTCAATAACCAGGGTGTATGGTAGATAGAACTTGATTTTTGGGATATAAGGCAACTTGCAACTTGTGAGACACCACATTGTAGATCAGGGATGGATCAAACCCCATGGAATCCCTTGTTCCGATTTATGGATGTTTATTTTTTAGATATAGATAGACATGTATGGGTTTTGACCCATAGCCCCATGGAAATTCAACCATCTAAAGATCATTTCCTGGAGAGGCCATAGGTCTTCCATATCTTCGTTGCTTGACCCCACTGGTAATCACCAGTTGACATCATCCATGGTGTTTCAGTCACCCTTAAAATGGTCTCAGAAATCTCATTTAGGAATAAATTACCCATTTACATCCATTTACCCTCTGGTAATTTGACATAACTATGGAGCATGTCCCACTGATGATTTATGCATATGCATTATGAATGGTGAAATTGAAGAGCCATGGTAAATGTTCTACGTTCTAAACAATGGTTTGAAACACACCTTTTAAGGGGATATCACCAGATGGTCCATCTCACTGGCAATTTACGACGTAGGACGTCGTCCGCTAAGACCAGGATGAGAACCAAGAACTTCAAATCCCCAATCCCAAGGATGAAATTTCCATTTGACATGGCCATATCATGCCATATCTTTAGGTTCAACCACAGGAATTTGAAGGATGTTATGTTCAGCAATTCTTGTAGGAATCAGGGCCAACCCGCCTGTTTCCCTCAAAAACAACCTTCATGAATTGGATGATGTCTGGGATGAGTCGAAACATATGATTACTCGGGGGGAATGAAAATCCTGTTGCCAGCTGTTTTCATGTCGTACCAGGGTTTTGACCCATTGTCGGGCCATGTTTGATCCCCTTTGTCCAAGGGTCAGAATGACAGCCAGGAGTTGTCAGCGCCGGTGCTTCGAAAAGAAAAGATACTTCCGCAAGTTGGGAGGCCCAGGTGAGTGGCTCCATTGGCGCCGCTGGATGGAAAGTACAAGGTCCAAATCTGGTTTTGGATTGGTTTGGGAACATGGACTCAGTATAGTTGAAAAAAAGGGAGGTTAAGGATTGAACGATGAGGATGCAAGTAGCAGAAGCTGAGATATTACCGATATCACCAGTTGCTGTATGTATTGGGCAATTTGGGGGGTAGCTTTCTCACAGCCATTTATCACTTTTGGTGTGACTTCTTCATCAACCAGCTAGGGTTTTGGTTCAATAAGAATCAAATAGGGTATTTCTATTTGCTAGGATTTAATAGAGGATATATCCAGTCATATCCATCAACATCTGACTATTTCACTCGGCTTAATGCATATTTGCAGGTGTAGAATGTCATATACCCATCCAGTCATTTCATTGGGTTTAAGACAATGCATATTGGCAAGTATTCTGGTTAGTAGAGAACTGTCGTACAACTTGTGTTTTACCGCATACCCTGCGGTAGATTAAGATATGGAAAGCCCACAAGTAACTCAGAGCATTTTCCTACGGAAAGCCATGCAATTCTATATCGGTTTGTCTGGGAATAGGGGTACCCCTAAATCAATTGCTCCATGATGGTTTTTAAAATTGTTCCTCCTTCTAAAATGGCAATCAAATGGTTCCACCTTATTTTCAGACACCCAAATCACATTAAGTTGGTAATGTATCTCAGTATAAAACCATTATATCGCTTAACAATCAATGATTTCCCATTATTTTCCATTTCCAGACCCACACGGCACAGCTAGAAACATCTATGTTACCAAGGCTCACACCTCAAGGAGGAAGACCAGGTGCCGGTCACCGGGGTTTCTTTGGGGTCCGCTTTTTATGATGAGATCACCTCTTGTAATTTGTTACACGTTCTGAACTGGAAACCATGACTGAAGTAGATGCTTTGCCTATCGAAAATGGTGGTTTTCTATATATTTATGTTAGTTTACCAGATGGTATTTATGCTTGGTTGGGGATTGATGTAGTTTCTGCGTTGAAGTTGAACCCCAAACGGCTGGATCTTTATTCCCGGCCTGCGACAGTTTGGGGTCCGCAAGTTTGATAGGTCCAAGCGGTTCCTCAGATTGTTTGCCCAAATCTTGGTTTAAGCATGGATAAACATGAGCAAATGTGGTGGTTAAATAGGTGGTTGATGTGGTTGGGGGTGTCCAACGGGGAAATTTTGGGAACATTTTATGATGGAAGGATGATCTTATGGGAACTTACATGGGATTTTACTTCTTCCATGCGACATATGATGGAGAGAATGGGGAAGTTTGCGTGGGAAAATCTCCATGGATGAGGTGGGGTCGAGTCCACCTTGGCATCTTAGTCCAGGCCGAAATCTTGACCAAGAACCTTAAGTAACTGATGAAGTTTGGTATGTTTGGTGGAAAAATACCGACTCCGAATGATTTTCATTGATTTTCCATGGTGCCGCATTTTTTTGGTCAGCTATTTTCCGATTGGGGATTGATATGGATTGATTTACCATGGGATTTACGACATAAACATGAGATGTTTGTAGTAGAGATTTGTAAACTGCAACCGTACGGTACTCCAGTGGTCCAGGCGGCTCCTGTTTGGGATCACCGGGGAGGGCAACGCAACTCATGTCTGCTTGAAGTACTTTATAATACTTTATATCTATAATAGATGATAATAGGTCTGTAAGTCTGTAAGATATATTATTTTATACAGTAGTCATGTTTTCAATAGAGGTTCCAAAACATACTCCAAGATTTTCTTAGCTTGCCAGGGTGACCAATCAAGTCCACGACCAAAGTGCTGAGGGATGAGCCGGGATGGAGATCGCAACTGGGTTTTGTTCCATGGAGATCGCATCGAGTTTACCATGGGTTTACCATTTTCATCCCAAGCGCTAAGATTCGCTGAGATATACAGATATTAGCACGGCACATGCGCAAGTATGACTAAATATGACGACATATTATCCCACTCAGAGTTTTTCAACAAAGCAGCGAATCAACAAAGCACCATGTCTGGTTGGTGGTTTGGAACATTTTTAATTTTTCCATTCAGTTGGGAATGTCATCATCCCAAGTGACTTTCACTCCATCATTTTTCATATTGTTCAGAGGGGTAGGCGAAAAACCACCAGTTATCTCAAGAGTTCCATGACGGATGACCGAGAAGCAGCGAAGCAGAAGCGCCTTCCGAGAAAAAAAGTGACAGCTGAGGCGACGCCAAGTTCAGTCCTGTTGGCTGATGGTTCTCTTTGGTTATATTACCCTCTGGTAAACTAACATAGCTATTGAAAATGGCCATAGAAATAGTGAGTTTTCCCATTAAACATGGTGATTTTCCATAGCTATTTTGACAGAACCAGAGGGTAGTTGATTCAATGGAAATCAGATAACCAATTCAATATCAATGGATTTGGAGTGGCGTCAAACTTAAGATTCGCAGCTCACCTCGTGAATCATGGGAGCAGTGTTGCTTGCACCTTCAAGAGAACAATGGAGGAATTGATGGCGCATCACTCAGTTGGTTGATGTTATTCTTATGTTCCATTGTTATACCGACCTTTTTATGTGTCCAAGAATAGGCTACTCCTAAATCATCTCAATTGGTGAATCATGAAGTTAGATGTGAACAAGTGGTGTTTGACACTCCTCACATGCGGAAATTCGTGGTCAAATGGCAAGGCAACATCATTTTCAATGATCAGATGTGCCATGGTTCCATCATGTTCCATCAAGGTAACAAGCCTTCAGGTCTTTTTTTACTGCAAGTTAAGCTCAAAACATCATGGAAAACGAGCACAAAACATCGCAAATCGTGTCCTAAGAATTTTTACTCAGCACCGCTCTAAAGTGCAAACAACCACATGCAGCAACGATTTGCCGTTACAAAGTGAGCATCACTCCAAATATTTTTGGATTTGGCTTCAGAAAGACAGGGAAAAATCATGCATTTTGACATATTATTGTATCATGTTGTTGTACAATAGCGTATTCAAATCCTTGCGATCCCCCTGGATTTGGTTTGAGAAAGACACTGTCTATATATGATAAGAATTTGTTCAATTTGCGCATATCTATTGTTTTTCAGAAACCAATTCTAGACATTGCCTAAGTCTTTGCTGAAATATCCACATTTCAGCAAGTATCTATATGTTATCTTGAAATTTATGTTATCTTGAAATTTTTGACCATCAATTTTTGATATTACCCAATGCTACTCATTCACTGCAAATAAGTTGTCAAGCCATAGATTCGCCAATTTCTGGCTGTTTCACAGACGCCATGGCTGTTCCTCCAGCTGGACCTGAAGTCTTGAGCAGCTTGGCTTGGCATGGGATTTTCAGAGGATTTTTTGGGCGCAAGTGCCGGGGGGATATTAAGCACCAAACATAGGATATGATGGCTATATACGATACCCTCTGGTAAACTAACATAGCTATGGAAAATGGGTGATTTATAGTTGGTTTACCTATATAACATGGTGATTTTCCGTAGCTATGTTAGTTTACCAGAGGGTATATACTTGTTACATCACTTACCCTCTGGTAAATAAACATAGACCCTGAAAATCACCAATTTCCAATGGAAACTAGTCTTCCAACCCCCATCTGCCAGGGTCTATGTTAATTTACCAGAGGGTAATTTCTGATAAAATTTCTTGGCAGTTTCAAACTTCATCAAACCTCAAAGGTGATGTTTCTAGATTCCAAGCTACTTTTGGATGACGATTCCATTTGATTGCTTATACGATTCCATGAAGCTTCCATGAAACTTCCAGGAGTGGGAGGAAATCTGGGCGATACCCTCTGGTGTCATCATTTTTTGGCGACATCCCCGAAGTAAATGTCAGGAACCGATTGAGGACGGAGGTACCTACCAGATATAAGGCCTATTTTTCAGGCCTAAATTTCAGGGAATATCCCAGCAAAATATGGCCTTATATGGTACAGTATCTCCATTTTAGGATCCTGGAATTCCCATTGACTTGTGGTCTGAGCTATGATTGGTTGTTCTCACGAGTTCCTGGGTTTTTATATGTTTTGTCGTTGCAAGCTAGAATCTGAACAAAAAGTTGGTGATGTTTCTGGGTGAAATCCTTGGATTGTGCCCCAATTTCGCAACTTGGTATATCACCATCTTTCGGGTTCAAACGTGTTCAAACCATCCTCAGGTCATATTTATTCATATTTACACCTTGCAGGTTCAGTTCTGAGATGTACTTAATTATACGTATTACCACGAAACACTATTTTATATTAATTACTATAGATGGTACTGGTATCCAAAATAAAATTAGTTTTGGATTTGCCTGATATTTGAAACATATTTTATTACCACTACATCCTCGGACAAACCCCAAACCCTGATATAAGAAATGAAACCATGGTTGTTTCTTAGTTACTTACTCCAAATCTGGAACAATTTAATCGCGACCTCACCCCCTCACGACACTGGAACGATAGGGATATTGGTCGGGGCAACTATCCCCAAATAGCCTTATTTCAGCTTATGGTGAAACATTATCATCTATCCACTTAGTGAATTATCTTAACTATGCCTCATCCACATTTATAGTTAACTTTCCCATTTCCCATTTAGTTGGGGGGTTTTCAGTTGCGATGTTACTGGAGGGTGTATCTGATATTATATTGCCATATTATTCCCATCATATGCCTGGCATATGCCTGGCATATGCCTTATATGTCATCATTAAACCACCGAAAAATAATCATGAAATAGATGAACCATTGACTTAAAAGCCAACCCCTAATTGGTCATTGACTTAAGCACTATAGACATAATTACGGTTACGTCGATGAGAGACCATGACAACATGAATATTTTCACCATCTCCATTTGGAGATATGGCAGTGGGTCAAAACCTTGTACCCCTGGTGAACATCAAAATAGCTGGGATTTATGGATGTTCATCCCTCTAAAAATGGTATTAATAGGTATTGATTCATAGCCATATAGAAGCCATGAAAAATTCCAAGTGAAAATTTTCTCATTCCCATGAAAGCCGCCACCAGGTCACGTTCCCCGGGAGGAGCGTCTCCACTTTGCCGTGGCGTTGCTCCTGGAGACTCAGAGCTTCCCCTTGCGCGGCGTGGATTTGGAATGCCGGTTGCAGCGCTTGCTGGCGGTGAATGGCAGCACCCGGCTGGCGCAGGTATGGCGGCTTGGGGTTGGGGATGGGTTGGGGATGGGTTGGGGATGGGGAAAGTTGCAGATTTATGGTTTCGGCAAGTGATTACTAGTGATTACTATAGGATACTATAGGATCCTACCAATCTGAGACTGCTTCAAGTCAGTAGATGATAAGTCCGGCCCCGACGCGCATTCCGTAGATAGCCCATGGTTTCATTCACCAAGCCATCTTAGATGGTTCACATCGGATTTATATGGGATTACCCTCTGGTAAACTAACATATCTATAGAAAATCACACTTTTTAATGGGAAAACCCACTATAAATCACCATTTTCAATAGCTATGTTAAATTACCAGAGGTACATATTATCATATATGTCTATATATACATATGGAATTATTGTATATTATATGGATTTATACATGGATTCTATGGATTGTACGGATATTATATATATATGTGGATTTATACATGGATTAGATATGGATTTATATATGGATTATACATGGTTTGTATATGGTTTGCAAGCCATGGTTTCCATTGGTGTCCATATGCTTTGTGCTTCACATGGGATGATCGAACTATTTTTTTCCTGATCGAGTAGTGATATCTCCATTTGTCATCATTTCTCCAGGTTTATTTCATATATACGTATATATATATTATATAATAAGTAACACTTATCTTATGTAACTATATGTAACTATATGAAACTATATGAAACTATATGAAACTATATATAACTATATATAACTATATATAACATATAATTATATAAGTAACTATATGTATAACTATGCATGTACTATATATGTACTTATATATGTACTGTGTATATATATATATGTATAAATACATATCATTTATTCAGCAATTACATTTCTATATATGACATATATTGCTATATTTAACATAGATTCGTACAGTTTGCCATGGCTTTAGTGGGTCAGTTCACCACGTTTTTTTTTGGTCCGGTTTTCGGTCAGCCCAAAATAGCCGCTTTTTGTAGATGCTGAAAATGTGTTCCCCAGTTTTTTTCCTATATTATCCCAACTAACTATAGATATCATCTCAGTTTTTTCTATACTTGTAACCCTCTGGTATTTTTAACATGACTATGGAAAGATCCACCATTTTTCATGGGAAAACTCACTATTTCTATGGTGATTTTCCATAGTTTTTTGTTAGTTTACCAGAAGGGAATAGATATTGACCCATCCCCTATGTTTCACGTCTGACACGTGGAAACCTCCAGACCTCACATCTCTTGCCTGCATTCAACGCAGACATTCGACTCAAGCTCACCTCGACGACGCTGCAGCCGGCAAAGCCCGGTGGCCCTGAGCAAAAGCGGGTCAATGTCAACCAGTGATGCTGGTGCTTGTGTAGAGCCAAGTGGTGGCTCAGATTTACTCGATCTTTCTGTACAATGCCTGAATGGGGAAGGATGCATGTTGAAGCTCAATGGTTCCTGTACTGGTTGGGAAGTGAACCGAATGGTTTCAAAGCAGCTTCCTCAGAAAAAAGGTGCGCAACTCACCCTGCATCACCTTGACTCATCTCTGATACTGCACAAAGAACTGCAGGCGCAAGGCATCATGGGCAAGGCTGCAACACTCTCGTGCACCTATGTTCCAACAGATCTCTATGCTGCGTGGTGTACTGTCCAAAGTTTGCCAGTCTCTCAGAAAGAGCTTGCATTGCAGGGAGTGACACAGATAGCCGGTGCAACAACTACGAAGTATTTGCACCATCTCCCAGAAAGCCTTGAACACTTGAAATTTGGCAATGAGTTTAACCAGAGCCTGGAAGGGGTGACCCTGCCGAGCAATCTTCAGACTTTGACATTTGGCGATGATTTTAACCAGAGCCTGGAACGAGTGACTCTGCCAAGCAGTCTTCAGACCTTGACATTTGGCAGCGATTTTGACCAGAGCCTGGAACATGTGACCCTGCCAAGCAGTCTTCAGACCTTGACATTTGGCAGCCATTTTGACCAGAGCCTGGAACATGTGACCCTTCCAAGCAGTCTTCAGACCTTGACATTTGGATATTGGTTTAACCAGAGCGTGGAAGGGGTGACCCTGCCAAGCAATCTTCAGACTTTGACATTTGGCAATGCGTTTGACCAGAGCCTGGAAGGAGTGATCCTGCCAAGCAGTCTTCAGACCTTGACATTTGGATATCGGTTCAACCAGAGCCTGGAAGGGGTGACCCTGCCAAGTAGTCTTCAGACCTTGACATTTGGCAGCGATTTTGACCAGAGCCTGGAACATGTGACCCTGCCAAGCAGTCTTCAGACCTTGACATTTGGAATTCGGTTTAACCAGAGCCTGGAAGGGGTGACCCTGCCAAGCAGTCTTCAGACCTTGACATTTGGCAGCGATTTTGACCAGAGCCTGGAACATGTGACCCTGCCAAGCAGTCTTCAGACCTTGACATTTGGCGAGTGCTTTAACCAGAGCCTGGAACGAGTGACTCTGCCAAGCAATCTTCAGACCTTGACATTTGGATATCGGTTTAACCAGAGCCTGGAAGGGGTGACCCTGCCAAGCAGTCTTCAGACCTTGACATTTGGCAGCGATTTTGACCAGAGCCTGGAAGGAGTGATCCTGCCAAGCAGTCTTCAGACCTTGACATTTGGATATCGGTTTAACCAGAGCCTTGAACGAGTGACTCTGCCAAGCAGTCTTCAGACCTTGACATTTGGCAGCGATTTTGACCAGAGCCTGGAAGGGGTGACCCTGCCAAGCAATCTTCAGACTTTGACATTTGGCGATGAGTTTAACCAGAGCCTGGAACGAGTGACTCTGGCAAGCAGTCTTCAGACCTTGACATTTGGCAGAGATTTTGACCAGAGCCTGGAACATGTGACCCTGCCAAGCAGTCTTCAGACCTTGACATTTGGCAGCCATTTTGACCAGAGCCTGGAACATGTGACCCTGCCAAGCAGTCTTCAGACCTTGACATTTGGATATTGGTTTAACCAGAGCGTGGAAGGGGTGACCCTGCCAAGCAATCTTCAGACTTTGACATTTGGCTATGCGTTTGACCAGAGCCTGGAAGGAGTGATCCTGCCAAGCAGTCTTCAGACCTTGACATTTGGATATCGGTTTAACCAGAGCCTGGAAGGGGTGACCCTGCCAAGCAGTCTTCAGACCTTGACATTTGGATATCGGTTTAACCAGAGCCTGGAAGGGGTGACCCTGCCAAGCAGTCTTCAGACCTTGACATTTGGCAGCGATTTTGACCAGAGCCTGGAACGAGTGACCCTGCCAAGCAGTCTTCAGACCTTGACATTTGGCAGCGATTTTGACCAGAGCCTGGAACATGTGACCCTGCCAAGCAGTCTTCAGACCTTGACATTTGGCGATGAGTTTAAACAGAGCCTGGAACGAGTGACTCTGCCAAGCAGTCTTGAGACCTTGACATTTGGCTTTGAGTTCAACCAGAGCCTGGAAGGCGTGTCCTTACCAAGCAGTCTTGAAAGCTTCAGCCAGCGTTCGGTCTTGGTGAGCTGCGCGTGATTTGCATGTGAAGGAGGTTTGAATTGAACAGATTTAATTTGACATTCTAAGTGATTTTGCTCTTTGAGTTTTGCGCGCCTGGTGCTGGTTTTCAAAAAACGGGATGAATTGGGGGTTAGAATGCTGGCAAAGAAAGGTGGTATACCATGGTCAGAAAGTCCCGCGTTTTTTTCCCCATACCATTTTTCTGGACAAACCGGGCAGGAAATAGTCACATAGTCACAGTTGGTATAGTGAGGTAAACCCAGCCATAAATCACTCCAAAATAGCTGGTGGGGTTCTCACATCAACCAGAACGGACCAGATACCAGAACGGGCCACGGCAAGCCACGGCAAGCTGGACCTGTATCCAATAGCTATGAAAAAAAACTTAGTGTATCCATGAATGGGACAAACCCTATACTTGAATATACTTACTGTATGTATACAATCATATAACGTACGCACGGGGGTTTTCTTCGCTTCCTAACTGGGGCGAGCTGGTTTAGATCAACCAACTACGTATTGTTGGTTCGTATTGGACTCCGGATACTCCGGTCATTTCCAACATTCCAAGCTTCACCAGGCATTTCTCAGCATTTGCTTCAGGTAAAAATTGCAAGAAACCCTGCCGCAATGCGGCCCCAGGTGGATTGTTCAAATTTGGGCGTCTAATTTCTACCCTAAAGATATGAATGAACATTTCTGCAATCATGTATATTGTTTACAATATCATGCAATTGATCATTTCTTCTTTTATCATATAGATATCACAAGATATTTCCCGAACTCGGACCAGCTCCATTCCATGGACTCACAAATTGCAAATCACTAACCCTTCGATACGTCTCTAAGAGGGATCTATTTTCCCCAACCAGTTTCTTGTGCTAAACTTTGGGGAATTTTCAAAAAATGCTCCACTGGCTACCCTCTGGTAAACTAACCATAACTATGGAATTGAAAGATCCAGCATTTTAATTTTTTAATTGGGGAAAACTCACTATTTCTATGGCCAAAAAACCAGAGGCTATCAAAAATTTATCACCCAGCAACCATCAATTTTATGAACCCAAAGGGCAACCCATCCAGCAACCCATCCAGCAACCCATCCAGCAAAAACCGGACGACTTCGCAGCCGTTTTTGTTCGGATTTTTTCTGCCAGGAACTCTGCATGGAGTCGACACACTACGGCGTCACCTTGGGATACCTCGACAGCACCAAGTTGCAGCTGCTGCTGGATGAAGCCTCGGCATCTTGGCGTTGGGAGTCCAGATAGCCTTGGCGAGTACAGGAAGATACCATCTGGTAATTTGTGACAGTTTGCTATTGAAAATTGCCATAGAAATAGTGGATTTTCCCATTAAAAATGGTGATTTTCCATAGTTAAGGAAGATATGGGAATGGGTCAAAACCCTGGTACCCCTGGTGAACATCAAAATAGCTGGGATTTATGGATGTTCATCCCACTAAAAATGGTATTAATAGGTATTGATCCATAGCCATATGCTGTGAAAATGGCTGGAAGAATTGCTCGAACTTTTTTTTTTGGAAGAATTAGACGTAGAAATACAGACCGGTTGGTGGTTTCAAACATTTTTATTTTCCATTTCATATATTTCGGATGTCATCCTTCCCATTGACGAACTCCATCATTTTTCAAGATGTTTTTTCAACCACACCAACCAGCAGAGATTCTTTCGCAACATGGAGAGATGAGCCGATGGACATGATCATCCCGCTTCGGCTTCATCGTTTGAGGTCCAAAAAGTCTGGACCATCAATTTCGTGGCGGAAATTTTAGCACCATTTGTGAAGCGTTTTCCTGATATACCCCTGTGAGTCCGTTCTTCTAGCAGCTTATATTGGGTTCATCTGGGATCTAAAAATCTACCATAGCAGGGATACCATGGGATATACAACAACCAATAGAATGGGGATGCCTCCTGTCATCCATGATTTCATACATTTCATCCATTGCATCCTGTATATTTTACACCATTACCACCATTACTACTGTAGTTTGGGCCTCAGGGCCTCTTTGTTTTTGTTTTTTATGTTTCTTTTGTGTGGTCACATAACCCGTTATTATTGTAAATTCTATGCATAACATGTGACGGAACTCGATGCCAGATGGGCCTCCAGGTATTTCACCATCGCCGCTTTTAGTTTTCGGATCCTGCCATGTCAAGCTTCAAGAAATGGGGAGCTTAAACAGTAGCCGCTTGGTAGCCCTAAATCTGATGTGTGATCATCATTTTACTATCAATGCCCCGTTTTGTGGGGTATCCCTCATGTTTGAACAAACTCATAGCATATCTATCTATATATATATATGTATATATATGTATGTACAATTAG